AAAGCAACCACTCATACTCGAGATTGGTCGATGCGTTTGACACCGGGCACCGGGGTGTCTGTACTGAATTCCGATAGCATGCGTCGGAACCGCTTTCCCAGACGGAAATAAACTCTCCGAGCTACCATAGTCGGAACAACTCAACTTCGCCAGCTGTACGCCGTTGGCTGAGATTGGCGGCATGTGGTACTGGGCTGGTCCTTTAATACCACCAAAGATGAATCATTACTTTGTCCGCATATTAGCACGTTAGAATGCTACGGATCAAATATTGGGATTCACTCTTGATGTCAACTCAAATGTAGTATTGCGGTGAAATTACCTAGCAATTCTGTGGGAGACAGGGCGAGCCTGAGTTCGATATCAGGGCGCATATCATCTCGAATCTGCGCACCTCCCATCCATCTTCGACATGTGGGATACCATCCGTCATGAGATTTCGGCAGATGCATGTTTCTGCACGCCCATGACGCTGGGAGAGGCCCATTGCAGTGTGGAAAGAGGCCAGCAACATTGCTTTGTCTCTTTAGCTCCTACGACATGATACGCCTCGATACAAGGTGGTGCGGCAGCATTGCTACTGAGCCCGGTTTACCATTGGTCTCCCTACCAAGGGCATATTCTGAAGGATGTGTTGTACTATGCTGTGTTCCATCCGCGGGACACGGAAAGCTCGCCAGACGAAGCTATTCCTGTCGCCTGAGAAGCGACCCTATCGCAGTCCCAGAATACTACAACAGGCTCTCTTAGTGCTTTCCTCTCCCGCCTTCGTTTGACCAGCTACGCGTGTGAAATGCATGCTCCTGTCTCCGTTTATTAATCGACCGGTACCACTTTTACCGTCCTAAGAACGAGTCTTACCGGCAGCGATATCCTACATCTCTACTCAGTATGAGTTGGTTCCATCAGTACCAAGCTTGCCAAGAGATATGGCAGCTGCTGTGGGGGGCTGGCTATGCAACAGCTTCAGGTAGATGAAAGTGTTCAACTGTTCAACTTCAACTTCCCATCAAGGGATTTGGGAGGATTGAAGGCGTCGGCCTACTATCTTATTGTCCACTTCTTATAACCTATGCCCATATCTCTACACCTAAACTTGATGATTTGCTTAGAGCGAGATTGCATTGACGAATTCCCTGTACCGCACTAAAATTGATGCAAGAATGACTTCGGCCCTCACGAGTTTAATTAAACGCGGCGCCTCTTTGCGTGGCTTCGACCCTGGGGCGTTTTGTCTAAGCACAGCTTCCAGTTGGGGTACAGATTGCTTGAATGGGGAGGGGATCAGGAATTTATTACCTGTTCCGCGCATTATGCATGTGCAATATTTTGCCACCTAATGGCCCAACCGGGCAGCTCCTACATACCAGCAAAGCCCGACAGTCTGGTAACGCACAACTCTGGTCAACGTGCGTCTCTTCGCCAGCCTGAAGCTCCCATGTTGACAGCTTTACTAGCACATTCTTAGCATTCCTCACGGCTTGGATCCAATTGGACGGTTAGCCCTTGCTTTAGATGAAATCCTTCCGGATGTGATATCCGGCGATGAGGTTGGTTTATCCTTGTCTGCCTGACAAAGATTTCCCAGCGTGGAGTGTTGGCTCTAGCCTGTTGCTGCGAGATTGTGGCGTTCTTATCCGCGGCGTGCTCAGTATCATCGAACCTACGACTGCAAGTACTGGTATGAGTGAATGCAGGGCTGGCTTGAGGCTGTAGCAGCGGAAAGAAATCGGTCGGTACGGAGTATATCCTCCGCAAGTAACATCTACTACTAATTCAAAATCGGTATAGGTCCTCACGGTACACTGAATCGTTAGAGAGACAACTGAGAGCTGCCACGGCCAAAGTATGATCTGCTGATGAGAAACACAGCTATTATTAGCTCCAATCGTCTCTCCGCAGGATGAACAAGACTAAACGAATCAAGCAGATTATGCACGAAAAACCCAATACGGAAAACTAGCAACACTTTAACCGCACACTAGGAGTACGGCCCGCAGGTAGTGAGCTTTCCCGCCTGTTCGTTGGGCCAATTACAGGAGAAGCTTGGCCAGTCCACCTCCTTACATGCAATCAGGCGGCCAACGAAAGATGGCAGTGTGGGCAAAGCGCGCCGTACTCCGTGGTAGCTGCAGTGGCTATTGCCAACACTACTGCAATGGCAAGAGCCAAGAGCCGCTCCAGTTCGCCATCGTTGCCGAGCAGTCGCCTTGAATCTCGCCATGAAGCGGATCGGTTCGGAGCATGGGACGCAAAAAACCCCCCATAGGAGGTTGCCACGAGAGCTCGACGCCCACAGCAACCAATCGCTTTGATAGCCAGAATGCGCCACTAGAGTGCAGGCATCTCTCCATGCCACCTCCAACCAGTAGCACAAGAAGTATTCTCCCTACCTCACAAGTCTGGAGGCTAAAGGGGCTACTCTTCCAACTCGCGACTAAGTGCTGTTCATCATGCACTAGCTTCGGTGCTGGAACGCTTTGACTTGCATCGGCACTGTTTCACTGCAGTGCCAAACCTCTACTGCTGTCGAAATCGCTGAGATGAACGCTGAAGAATGATGAAGGGAGATTGCGTCTTTCATGGCACACCGCCAGAAGTTCACGAGTCGGTGCAGGCCTTACTTGATCCCTCTTCTCCCGTCAACGTCTTTCCATTCGCCGCTTTGAGCTTCTTACATGCCTCTACCTACATATTAGTGCCGCAAGGTGTGGGTAACGCGGGCGTTCTGCAAAAGACATACGGCAATAGCAAGAAAAAGCGTAGCTGGCCCTATTCCCAACTGCCAACAACTGCATACTCGCCAAGTTGTACGAGGTACTATTTGTATAAAAGGGCTTGGCTACGAGATTCTCGGCGCCACATTTCATGAGTTAATTGACTGGGCGCGCCTACTAGCTGCAGGCCATTTCTTCTTTTACTTGAGGCTTGCCCAAGATACTGGGGGCCTTTGCAGCGACCTGTTTGTACATTTGCCAACGTGGACTGAACACGACACATGGATCAGCCAAGGGCCGAGTCAGCTCTTCGCATGGTGCATCGCGTCTAGGATTCTCGCCGAGGCTAGCGCAGAGTTGGAGGGAATGGCTTTTCGCAGACAGCAAGGCTCAATTTGAGGCAGCGGTGGTTTACCGCTTCTATGTGGTTTTTACCTCTTTAGGCTGTATCATGTGTGATTCATCCTCCAGGAGAGACTTTGTACCAGCTCCAGCTCTGATATCGTATCACACACGTCCTGTGTGCGGAGTAGCTGCTACGAAAAGTTGCCAGGGGTACTGGAAAGGATTATACCAATTCGGCAACCTTTTGCCCGTTTCTTATTACGAGTACGATACCAACCAAGCAGGATTGCAGGAGCGGACAACTGCCGATATTAGCCCAGCAACAGCCCGCGGTCCGCCAGCCTATTGTTGGACCTCATAGGACCTATTCATGAGTCTTAATCTGGACATTACAGCAAAAAGTAAAGGATCAACTAATGCAGCTAGCATGGCAATTCGCTTCGCATTTCTCGCCCGTCTGCTAGCTGTTCCCCTGTTCTAGCGAATCCTATCAAACTTGGGCACGGCGCAAGACGAGCAGGAAACAGGAAACCCGGCAAAGGCTAACCAGGCACCCAAAATCACGGTCTCGAAGGGGAAATGCTACCAACCACGTCATGTATCACTTCTCACACAGATAGGGCAATCATTCTACGCAGTATAGCCGATACAGATATGTATGCACCAGCGTGCATATACAGGTACATACGCAGGACCACATCTCGCCGTCCACCCATCCATTTCACAATACTACTACTACAAGACTGGTATGTGCTAGCATAGCTTGTCCGTATGGGGTACGGTACATGCCTATGTAGATCCCAGGTAAGCAGTCTATCTCCGTTACAGACCTGTCAAGCGAGGCAATGCATACACAATAAGAACGGGATCGGCATTATAATTGCTGCTGCTTATTATTATTGCTCTCGTTATTCTTACTAGCACCCTCTTATTCACCAGGGGGATACCCGAGTTGAAGAAGTGCGGCCTCAGGTAATGCCGCTTAGCATTAGTCTTGTGGACTAAGATGTTCCGTTGCTCCCTATTCTACCGCTCGTCAACCCGCAGAGCATACGTGCTGGCTTATCGCCGTCCAGAAGCCGGTATACATGGCAGAGCAGCTGTGCAGGTAAGCAATCGAGTGTCAAAGTCCCTGCAGGTACGAAGAAAAATGCGCCGCCTTGTACAGCTAGCCATCACCGTGTGCGCCCGCAGCCCGAGTCCCACCAGCCTGCATCATTGCGGTGGTGGTGTCTTGATGAAGGCGAGAGTGCATGGCAGCATGGAACGCCGTCCATTCAAATGCCTTGCTTCTTCTTCCTTCTGTATCCTACGTATGAGTACAGACACGCAAAGACAACGCACGCATACACGAAACCCTGCCAATCACCTGATTGTGATGCTGGGGCCACATAAGCTACACTCCCCGGAGTGCCATTTCGTAGATGAAGTAGCATCAATGACACTCTTGGCAGGCTTATTATCAAGACAAGATGGTTGAACGACGAGGGAATAAGCGGGGTGTGGTCGGGATGAGAGTGGTAATCTACTCCCGTACCAAGTACCGAGACGTTGAGCCCTTGTTATTTCCACCTTGAAGGGCTTGAACAAGGAGGGTGGGAAAATCTGGCAAAGTCTACATACATGATGGGGGAGGTGATGTGTCGATTTCCTTCTTCGGAGGAAAATCACCCTGCATGTCTACATACCAGTTGTAAGTGCAAGTGCACGTATAGGTACAGAGAGTGTGAAATTACGCTGTTTGCACATCTCCGTACACACCGAACATACTCCGTTATGCACAAAAGCCTTACTTTTTTCTTTGGTTTTGTATATTCTGCTTTTTCCGCGGAGAACAGCCCTGTGAAGCGTGTCGATGCGGCATAGGTCGAGTAGAATATGGTTATAGTCGAGTAGAATACGGTTACAGCCGGATAGATGGGAAGTATGATGAAAATTGTTTTGTTCTGTTTTGTTTTGTTTTTTGTAGCCCCTTCATTTTACATACATTGAGCATCATAATACCCTAATTACTACATAATCAATCATCCATCTCAGCAGTCTCATGGTCAAAAAAAGGAAAAACAACAACAACAACAACAACGTAAATGAACAAGTTGAAATAAATAAAATAAAATGTAATCAAATCAACAATCTTTTCTTTTTCTCTTGTCAAGATATTCAAGAGGTTTCAATCTCCAGACCCGCCTGTTTCATAAGATTGAAGAAGATGCCCTGCTTCTTGTACAATTCACTCGGTGTATCAAACTCCACCACCTCGCCCTTGTCCAGCACGACGACGCGGTCACTGTCCAGAATGGTGTTGAGTCTGTGAGCGACGGTGATGATGGTGCGGTTGGAGAAGAGCGGGGAGCGGAGGGTGGCTTGGAGCATGGCGTCTGTCTCGATGTCGACGGCGGCGGTGGCTTCGTCGAGGACGAGGATGTTGGAGGGGGTGAGCATGGCGCGGGCGAGGGAGACGAGCTGTCGTTGGCCTTGGGAGAGGTTTGAGCCTGGAGGAAGTATACGGTTAGCTTCTGAATGCTTTTGGAAAATGTTTTATTTGGGATGACAGGGGAGGAGCAAATGGATAATACGTATATGGATCAGGGTATGAAAACTCACCTCCTTCGTTGATCTTGGCCTCGAGGCCGCCTTCCAAGCTAGCTACGTGATCCTTCAGACGAGCATGATCTTGGCATACAATGTTAGCAAAATGGTAAATGACAGAGGGTAATGATAATTACGTACCTAGCACACTCCAAAGTTCGCTATCGTCGTGAACATGGCCGGGGTCAAGGTTGTCTCGAACGGTACCTTCGAAAAGAGCCGCGTCTTGTGGGATAATGGCAAGACGACGACGAAGATCCAGTAAACCAATGGATGAGGTGTTGAGGTTATCAATGTCGATTTGACCAGTAACCGGCTCAATCAGTCGGAACAGGGCCAGTGTTAGCGAAGACTTGCCAGCACCGGTTCGACCGACGACACCAATCTTCTCGTGAGTCTTGATGTCGAGGTTGATGTTCTTCAACACAAGGTCCAAGCCCTCACGATAACGAGTGCTGTAGTTCTTAAAGTCGACCTCGCCCTTGGCAGGCCATGCAACAGGAGGTCGCCTGCTGGGGATAATCTCAGGAGCTTCGCTGGGCAGCCGCGCGTACTCAAGTACTCGCTCGACGGACACAATGTTGGTTTCAACCTCAACAGTCTGGCGGACAATCCAGTTGAGGGAGGTCGTAATCTGCAGAGCATATGACATGGCCAGACCAATCTGACCGGCACTAATACGGCTGTTGCTGGCAACAGCGACAATACCAAAGCCGGCAGCCGCAAGAATGACGATAGCTCCGATAAACTCAAGTCGAACAGCAAGCCATCGGTTTGCGCTGATGGACGGGAAATAGGCACGAAGGTTGGCATCGATTCTCCACTCGTTTTCAAGCTGGAATCTCTCTTGTTGGCGATAAGCGCGGATAGTAGCAACGCCTCCAAGCGACTCCTGGAAGTGAGCATAGATGGGACTGCGGCTGACACTGTCCAAACGCTTCAGCTCACGGGATGTTCGAAGGTAGTAGCGCTGAATCCAGTAGTATGTCAAGGCAATGGGGATAATGAGAGAGCTGAAAGCGGGCACGGTCACAGCGATGATACCCAAGGTGAAGCCCGACTTGCCCACGTTGACAAAGAGCATGTTGAAAGTACGGGCCAACACCTCATCGACACGGTAAATGTCGCTGGAGAATCGGTTCAGAATCCGGCCAGCCGGGGTGGTGTCGAAGAAAGACATGGGAGACCTGAAAATGGCATTGGCCATTCGCTCGTGGAGCTTACGAGAGGCTTCAATGGAGCAGAAGATCCACAGGATGAGTGTTTGGATGACAGTCAAGAGCGAGGAACCGATACCAAAAGCAAAGTAGATGCCGATGAATTTTCCAATGTCATAGTTGGCACCCGCTTTCTGGTTCTGATCAGCCCATTCTTTCAGCCAGAAGGAACCACCGATGTTGGCCGTCTGGGCTGCGAGCAGCGCAATCATGTAAATGGCGACAGCGAAAAGGTTGTTCTCCTTGGCATACTCGCCGTATACCGACCACTTGACTTTGCCTTGCTCGACGTGCTCCTTGGCTTGCTTCGTCCTGGAGGAGCCCGCGACTTCTTCATCGGTAAGCTTGCCTCGAGGACCCTTGAAACTGGCCGTACTAGCACGTCGTAGAGTTGCCATGCTGCTTGATCTGGGCTTGTCAGCTACGGAGGACCCAATCTTAATGGGAGCCATTTCCGGCACTTGTTCCTGTGCTTCTTCCAGCTCTTCCTTGTCCTGAGAGCTGAGAGGCTCAATAACGGTGGAGGTTTCACTGGATTCTCCAGAAGAGCTGCTGCTGGAGGCGTTGTTAGAATCGTGGCCTGCAGTTCTCAAGAGATCAGCAACAAGTCCCTTTCTAGCGACAAGCTGCTCATAAGTTCCTCTCTCGACAATCTCTCCATCCCTGAGGAGGGTGATGTAGCTGGCTTGCTTCAGGACAGAAATGGCGTTTGTAGCGAGGATACGGGTCTTGCTGGAAAGCAATCCACGGGTGCCAAGGACGTTTTCAATAATGTGTCGACCAACATGAGAATCCACGGCTGACAAGACATCATCAAGAAGATAAATATCGGCTCTAGCATAGACAGCACGGGCCAGCGAAACACGAGCCTTTTGGCCACCGCTAAGAGAGATGCCTCGTTCGCCCACAACGGTCTCATCACCGTCGGGGAGCTGGGCGAAGTCGTCAACGAGAGCACAGGCCTTGACTGTCTTTTCGTAGAAATCGGCATCCCATTTATACCCGAACACGATGTTTTCTTTAACCGTAGCGTTGAGAATCCAGCATTGCTGGGAAGCATATGCAACAGTGCCGCGAACCTCAGCAGAGCCATTGATCTTGAAGAGACTACCCAGAATACTTTGCAAGAAGGACGACTTGCCAGCTCCAACTCTTCCGACAACGCATGACAGCTCTCCCTTGTAAGCAGTGAAGTTGATATCTGTCAGCGCGTTCTTATCCTCGTGTCGGTTCCAAGAGAAAGTGCCGTCTCGGATGAGAACGGTCTCCTCTCCCATCTCCTGAGGAGCTGGTCCAATAGTGACAGCATCTGTCTGCAGCTCCTCCGCTGTGAGGAACGCGGTCAGACGACCAACAGCAACCGAGGCCTCTACAATAGAGGTAAGGACCATAGGGAGCACAGCAAGGGGGAAAGTCAAGAGGTTGAAGAGGGCAAGAGCAGGGAAAACGATGTCCGTGGTCAAAGGGCGGTCCTGGGTGAGGACGAAAACGGTAAAGGTAGAGCATGAGACAAAGAAGGGCGCTGTATTCCAGGTGAAGTTGGCCACAGCCTGGGTCGCGCCAATTCTCCGCAGGTTCTTCAGTTCTTGCTCGTTTCGGACAAAGTTCAGCTTGGCCATGAAAGCAGAACCCCAGGCATAAAGCTTGATGCTCTTCATATTGTTGATGATTTCATTAATCAGTCGGCTTCTTGCGTCCTTGTTCTTCATCTGATCTTTCTGCAAGTTTCTCATCATACGAGCGACAAGGCCTTGCACGGGCATCATGATGATCATGACGACAATACCGGCCATCATGGACCATCCGACCAGGTTGTAGAGGGAAACCATGCAGATGATAATCTGGAACGGTGCGGACCAGGCCTGCTGAGCGAACTGAGTAAGATCTTGCAGACGCTGGGCGTCGACGGCCATGTAGTTGACAATGTCACCGGTGGTCTTGGTCGATCGTCCCTCATTAGAAAGTCGCAGCGACTTTCGGTAGATTGTCGAAGCCAAACCACCCTTAATGCGCATTCCAGTAACGAAAGCCAGCTGGAAGTATTGGTGAATCATGGTGGTCTGGAAGACGGCACAGGCGAACATGGCGAACGCAATTGTAGCGCCCTGGACGACGGGCTGGGGAGTCCCCTCAGAGCTTTTCGACTCGACTTGGTAGGAAGCGACGAAGGTAATGAGAAGGCGGAGAAGCTGAGGTTGGATATATTGCGCAACATCGTTTCCAACCTTGAAGAAAGCGGCTGTCATGTAAGGGCCTCCGTAGGCTCGGAACAGGGCCAGCCACAACGACGGCGAGTTGGGACGTCGTTTGAGCTCGTGTTTCCATGCTTCTTCGAGCGCCTCTCCCGTCTTCTTGGTTTGATCGGCTCGAGTCAAGCCCCAGAGGTCGTTCTCCGTCAAGAAAACCTTGTAGCCGCGTCTCATCAGGGGCGTCATCCAGGAGAAAGTGAGCTTGGAGAAGACAGTAGCGTATTCTTCAGGGCACTCTTCTTCTTCCAGGATGGCTTCATAGCCGCTGGGGTTGGAACGAGGCCAGAGCCACTCGACTAAAAACTCAACCACGCTAAGACCAACACCGACGGAATAGGTAATAAAGTAGGGGAGGTTCTTGGTGTAGAGCTGCTGCGAAATCAACGAGCGCTGCTTCACGGCGAAGGAAATAAGCAGCAGTAGCCAGTAGAACAAAACCACTCCATTGGCGTTTCTCAACCGCGAATGCTCCAACCATTGGATCGTAAAGATGACAAACAAGGAAAGGATGAGGAGGGCTGAGGTCCAGGCACGGAAATCAGCGTACCAGGTGCTTCCGTAGCTGACGATTTGGAAAGCAAACTGAACAGCAACATTGGCGATGATGGCGGCCAGCAAAGTCTAGTTCAACAATTAGCATGTGAGCTGTTTCATGACATATGATATAGAAATCCCACGCGCGCGGCGTACCTGTTTAATCCAGAAATGCGCGTTCTTGGAGGTTGTATATTCCTGCTGCTTCTTCTTCTTCAGCCACCAGATGGCAGCGGCGCCAAAGAGGACGCCATAGGCGGCAACAGAGGCAATCCACACATCGACAAAGCAAGGCGTAAAATCCCACCGATACGGACTCAAAGGGCCCCAGCCCTCTTCATTGCCGCAGAAGCGCTTGCAAGAGGCGGACGCGGCGAGATAGTGGCTTCCCAGCTCCTGTAATGGCCGGTAGCCGGTGAACGAGCCAGAGTGCAGCAGCACCTTTTGCTCGTCGTACGGATCCATGATTGCGATCCAACTCTTTCAGACTAGAGGACCAGGTCGTTACCGCATGCTCGTCGGTCGGTCGGTCGAATCGAATCGAGGCTCGGACGCAGCGATGAAGTCGGAGCTGAGCTGCTGGTTTAGGTTTTATCGGTCAGTGACGCAAGGGGCTTTTTGGGGCAAAAACATCCAATGCGAGACCCGAGACGCTGCAGCGATTGAAAGTCTGCCGACTCGCAGCAGGCGATGTGATGCAGGATGAAGGGCAAACGGCGCTCAGGAAGAAAAAGAAAAAGAAAAAATAGGCAGCCCGAGCGACCGAAGAGTGACGGAAACGATGGATTGGATGTGGGTACAAATGTACATACGGAAGAGCTGGTACCTTGCGCCGAACTCGTGGATAGTGGCACAGAAGCGCGATGCTTTGTCAGCTCGAGCAAGGAACCGCCAAAGGGGCCGCGATTCTCCACTGACCCTCAAAAGTGGCAGCTGGCGAATGGGAAGCTGCTGATTCGCCTACGGAGCACATGGTGATGGAGTCAGCAGAGCTAGTCCGGCTATTAAGTCCGGAGTTGAAGGTGCCAGAGCTGGAATAAGTTGCCAAATCACTAATCCCCGGCCAAAGGGTGGCCGAACATATGTCCGACGACCGGATGTTTGATAGCGGGCCCTACTCCTACCCTGGAGCGCACTCGGGTTTTAATTTTTATACTCCATTTTCTGCTTGATGAACCAGCTGTATATGTGTCATAGATATGGAAATGAGAACACACGGATGTCAGATGTCACAAAGTTTGATGGGTCTGTGCTAACGGGGTAGCTTGACAGGTGTGCTATTACGGCTGTAAAGGTCTACGTACGTCAGGTAGGTAGTCTACGCCACCACCAGCTGGTTGCACAAGAACACAACTTTATTCTTTTCTGGGCTACTCTACTTGCCACCAGAGACAGCTTGCTTATCTACTAGGTAGCTTAGGCTTAGCTAAGAGTCCGAAGAAACTCAACTACTCTCCCCGCCAGCCATTCTCGAGCCTCCTCCTGCAAGACTGTGTGACCTGTCCCCGGTATGAGCCCAGACAATGGGCTAACGAATGAGCTTGCCGCCTGGTACTTTTTGTTTATCGCCGCCTGATCAACTCTGGCTGGAACAAACTCGTCTTTTTCCGAGTGTAACACGAGTACAGGCTTGTTGAACCGGCTCCAAAAGTTGTGTACTGTTTGGTCATCAAGGTCGGAAGAAAAGTAATCATCGGCCCCTCTGTTACCGTTAGCCAACGTGTCTGTGTTGCTTGACACAGTTTCATGGAGCAGCCCCAACTTACCCTTTAGCAAAGAGGTCGTGGAATCTGTTTGCTGATATCGGTGCGTCCAGCATGGCAATTGAATACTCGTTAGGCAGACAGTCCTCCCCCTTTCCCTCAGCAATCATCTTGTTGGCATAGTCGAGCTTGGGTTGGTAATCCGGAATGAAGGTGTCCAGCGACTCTCTGTCCGAAACGGGTGCTTGTAGAATGAAGCCATCCACAGGACTGTTGGAATATTTGGCGTAGTTTGTATATTCCATACAATCCTGGAAAACGTCAGCTTGTCGTCGATATCTAGCTGCACCCAAAGTGTAGCAGAGAGAAGAGAGACTACCTGGCACCCAGTTGAATGGCCAAAGAGAATAATCTTTTCCCGGCCAATGGAGCGAAGATATTTGACAAGTGCGGAGATGTCTTGGACATCGTCTGCTAGGCTTGACCTTCCGAATCCATCGAAGGAGCTCCTCAGACGTGTTTCAAAGACAGAAAAGTTCAACTCGGGCGTCTTTTCCAAACGCCGAGCAACAGTTCGAATATACGGCGTCGTATGAGGGCCATCTTTGAGACCTCCAATGAAGACGAGGGCGTTCTTGGAGGCCGTGTTGCCCATCTCATAGGCACATGTGCCCTTGGTCGGGGACCGGTAGGGGTGAGCCAAGAGAGGAAAAGGGCCAGAAGAATCCATGTTGACTTCTATTCGATTGTAGTTGTTGTGTATTTGAAAGCAAAAGGCACTACTGGCATACTAAAGACCAAGCTTCAGCGAATTATGATGTAGATGCACATGGATGTTACAATGAGGGGCAATTACGTAGAGGCGCTTGCTTACACGCTGATCAGCATCAGCTCTGCGGTTGTGAGAGCACCTAGGATTCTAGGCTGGCGGTAGAGGGCAATGCACAGTGCCAGCGTCGAAATAGTGCCTTCCGCTAGCCAAGTATTCTCCGTTCGGTTGTCGCTAACCGAGATCTCCAAGGGTCCATTGAGGTGATAAATACAGTGCGTAACATATTTCAAACTGTTGTCCAAGTCCGCCTGGCCAGTAGCCTAATATTCACATGAATAGCATCGCCAGCTTTCATGGCCTCATCTTGAATGCAGCTCTTGGTATATGGGAGACAGAACCACTACCAACCGCATCAAATTCTCTGAATTTGCACCTAGAATCTCTTCTATAGCTTCTCTCATCAGCCCTCGTAGCTGCGCAAACGGACAGTGATACAAGGGATCATGTGCAGGTAGCTCTTCGAAAAGCTTTGTTGTTTTAGTGGGCCATGGAAACAACTCCGGCCGCCAAAGAACGAAACGAGTTGTTTCAAAAGGTGAGTCATCATACATGTGTCTCTCAAGATGGCTTTTATCTCATCTAACACCATGTAGCTCAAGCCATGCTGCGTTAAAGTGAGCCAGCTGGCGATCCGGGAGTCTGGGGACCCAAAGACTCACCGGGAAGTTCTGGAGCTAGTCAACCAGATTCTCGCCATCTTGAACGAGAAAATCTCCAAGAGTCCACTGGCTCTTGACGAAAAATTGGCGGAATATGTATTTTTCCCACTCCATCACATCTTTCGCCAGCTAGAACGATATCCCATGAACGTGGTGGAAGATTGCGTTAAATGTCTAAACATTCTCATCGTTCACGGGTGGAAGTCTAGAATATCTGCCCAGCTGGTACAGCAGATATTCAGTTTCCTCATATTCATCATCGATGGCGTTCCAGGATCCCCCAAGAGAGACATCCCCGAAGAGACGGTGCTCGAGGCATTCCGGGCCGAAACTGCGCTGCTCACCACCGCAGGCTCGTCGGCAACGGCGGCGGCGGGTCTCTCTGAATCAGAGTCCATGCCAGCACTCGGCCATGGAATTACAGTCATGCTGGACGGAGTTTCGGAAGGTGCAAATGCAGAGATTCAGCGTGAGGCACTGAGGACATTGGAAGCCGTCTATGGGGCCATCAAGGAGCATGCCGCGTTGGCCAGTTTTCTCCCAGGAACTATTTCATCATTCGCAACGGTGTTATCGAAACCTTCTCGATATAAGAAGCTAGTAATAGCGAAATGTCTGGAGACCGTGCGAGTGGTCCTGACACGGGTGCTGTCCGACCTGCGGACGCGATCCATTATCTCCAAGGAAACCGAAAGTCAGAGCGATGCCGACAAATCCAAAGTTCTCAGCCCGGCATGGCTCAAGGCTACTGTGGCCCAAGTCCAAGTGGCTCTGTCGGTGATGATGAGACTACGGACGCATGAAGCGCCTGAAGTCCGTGAGGCTCTGGGGCGACTATGCATAACTCTACTGGACGAATGCCATACTACCCTATCAAACTGCACAACCATCCTCGTCGAGACATCAGTGATCCTTGACCAAGGTTCTGATCAGGACTCTATGACCGAAACGAGCTTGGGATATCTGGTAAATATATATCCTGAGCTGGGCGAATGTATCAAATCGACAGTCTACAACTGGATGTCAAGCCTTCCTCGTCTTGTGCAGGCGAGTGACGAGAAGGTAAAGGAGCAAGCAGTCTACAATCTGACCAAGGGAATTGAATTGCTACGAAGTTTAAGAATCGAGTCATCAACGCTCGATGACTCAATTAGCAGTACTTTGAGAGAAAGCATAATGGCAATCGTCAGTACATCAAAAATACAACAATCCAATACGAACAGCCGTGTCTTACTGCTCGATGATGGGTCTTCGGCTTCAGTCACGACGAGTGAACCGCAATTCCAGCCAGTTCTATTAGGCCACGAAGGGCAGAGAAGACTAAAGAGCGAGATCTTGAGTCTCGTACGGACTGTTGGCTCCATATCTCAGCATGCAACAATCGCGGCGAACATGCTGGATTGTGTTCGAGAATCAACATCTCTCAATCAGTTGACTGCATATTGGCTGTGCTTTGAGTTAATAAAGGCTTCACATGCCGGCTCTGAAGATACAGACGCGCTGCTCGATCTATCTGCATTCACTGACCAATCAGAAGATGTAAACCAAGTCTTTGATGAGTTATACGACTTCTCTGTTCAAGTACTAGACTCGCACACTGAGATGGCACAAGTTGACTGGCGTTTGGAGGCTATTGCTCTCGAGATAATGACCTATGCTGCACAGAGATCTGGCGAGAAATTTAGGCCAGAGCTCATTGATGTGCTATTCCCCGTTGCAACTCTCTTAGGCTCGGATAACGGCAACCTGCAGCAACATGCCATCGTCACACTAAACAGCATAGCACTGTCTTGCCAGTATACCAACGTCTCAGAGTTGATCATTGACAATGTTGACTACATGATTAATTCGGTCTCTCTGCGGCTGAATACGCTGGACATCTCCCCGGCATCCACACAGGTCCTGCGAATGATGGTGCGACTGGCTGGACCTCGCTTGGTGCCGTTCTTGGACGACGTCGTCGAGTCAATGTTTGCTGCGCTGGAAAATTACCACGGATACACATCCTTCGTGGAGAGCCTTTTCGCCGTCTTGAAGGAGATTGTGGACCAGGCAACACATGCAGATGGCCGGCTCTTGACTGACGCCGAGCGGTCATCAACTAACCACAAGAAACAAGCACAAGCGATAGAAAGCTTAGATATGCTTCTAGAAATCCTCGATAGGCGCAAACAGAGAGAAGAGCGTGATAAAGCCGAGATGGAAAACACGGAGGCCAAGAGCGGACATCCCGGAGTTCCGTGGACGAGCGACTTAGCTCAGGGACAAGACGACCAAGAACAAGAAGAGCCACCCAGAGAGGAGGAGAAACCGCCAAACTCGCCCACGTACCAGCTTGTTCAACGCGTGGCAACGCTCACGCAGCACTACTTGACTTCGCCGACCCCGACGCTGCGAAGGTCCCTCCTGGAACTCGTCACTGCGGCATCGTCTGTCCTCGCCGCGGACGAAGATTCCTTTTTGCCCCTTGTTAACGCCATCTGGCCCGTGGTCATCACCAGGCTTCGCGATCCGGAGACCTTTGTCGTCGTTGAGGCTTGCGAAACGCTCTCTGGGCTGTGTAAGGCGGCGGGAGACTTTCTCAGCACGCGATGGAAAACTGAATGGTGGGATGGACTGGGCGATTGGTGTCGCAAAGCCAAGCAGAATGCGTCCAGGGATAAGGGACGCTCTAACGTCTCTTCAAGGGGTCCTCTCTCGCAGGCCGGATCAGGGAAGGATATTGTTATTCCTATAAGGTCGGGTGCTGGCTTCCAGGTTACCCCAAGGGCCGTCGGTGGAACGGATCAGGCATTGAGCGGAGGTCTCGGCCAGCATGCATCTCCTGTTCGAATCTGGGAAGCAGTGGTGAAGCTGCTCACAGCAATCATATCGTACGTGCGCGTAGAAGACGACATGTTTGATGAGATTCTCGACCTCCTAGCGGATGTTATGGAGAAGAACCAGGAAGTAAGAGAAGCTTTGGAGGTTATCAACGCCGATGCCGTCTGGGCAGTGAGATACGAACGTGGTCTTGTCGAATGGACTCCCGCTCCAGTGTTGGAGGGCGTAGTATTTCCTGAAATGCAGAAGATATCTTGAGAATGAATGAATATACTAAGAGACACAATTTGTTTGCACTTCACTATTTATTCTTCAACATGATTCATTGACTCATTTACGCTGCACAACTATGTTACATGTATCAAGTCTATTCCATTTCTTTTCCCAGCTTGCTCGCTCTAAACCTTCGTACTTCTACACAAAAACATCCCCCAAAGTCTTATATCTTCGACGCCACATCCATGTATCCATCCACCACAGCCTGCATCAGCTGATGCGCAATAGCCTGCGACGGCGGCACATACAACGGCCCAACATATCCCTCCGGCGCAGGATCCCCCAACGCACTGGTTCCATTCTTGAGCGCCTCACGCACCTCCTCAAACGTAAACCAGCTAGCACTCTCCAACTCCTTATCAAGCAAGCTAATCTCCTCTCCATCCGGCAGCGCCTGCGCAATAGCTCCAATCATCAAACTCGACGGATACGGCCAAGGCTGACTAGACTGGATCGTGACCCTTCCAACACGAACACCAGCCTCCTCCCAGACCTCACGACGCACAGAATCCTCAATAGACTCACCGGGCTCGATGAAGCCCGCCAAGGTGCTGTGCCACTTGGGCGGCCATCGGCTCTGGCGACCGAGCAGCATGCGCTTGCCGTCGGAAGAAATGACGGCGACGATCATGGTGGGATCGGTGCGCGGGAAGCACACGTTGGAGATGCCGTGGCGCGTGGGACAGTCGGCGCGGGCCGTGGCCTCGGAGCCGCCGGCCAAGTCTGTGGGCGGGCAGACTCGCTTGTAGCCGGACTCGACGGAGAGGTTGAGGTTGCCGCAGCCGGCGCAGAAGCGGTTGCGGACGTTCCAGTCGATGAGAGAGCGGGCCTGGGCGAGGATGGCGGCTGGGTTCATGAGATTAGTTGTTAGAACTACATCTTTTGAGTGGGAATGAGGGGTGAGAGGTGAGGGGGTGAGAATGAGAAATGAGCATGAGGCATGAATATGAGATTCAACGAAGAAACTGGTGTCTTCTCAACTCACCTTCTTCAGGATCCAGCGTCATGGTCCGTACGTTCGTCTGAATCGAATACCCCTTCGCCTCAGCATCCTTCACAAACGCCTCGGCAACTTCCGCACTGCCCCCCGCCGGCGTCACATCCAACGCAAAGTACGGCTGCCCATTCACAACCCCATGCTTGCTCGTCTCGAAATCCACCCCCTGCGGCGTATCCGGCAACAACCCCAAGAAAAGCAGCGTCGGGCTCGGCTTCGTCGAGTCAAACGCCGCCTTCTTCTCCTCGTCCGACTTCCCAAAGGGATCCGCCCCAATCAGCGGCTTCACATCGTTGAGTCCGAAAAACGCCAGCCGCCGCGCATTCTCAATCAGCGGGTTGAGGTCGCGCAGTGCCACAAATCGTGCCGCGGGTGTTGTGGCCGCCGCACGGATGAACTTGATGTCGTTGCGCAGGAATGAGAAGCGGTTCAGCAGCCCGCCGCCATAGTAGTTGATCGTCTCCTTGCCGAATCTGCGCGACAGCATGGAGTCGTCGTTGGCCAAGGAGGGCGGGCCGGGCTTGAAGACTTGTGACATTTGGTAACGAGGCCTGGGTAACCGGCAGGGCGGATTTTCTTACTATTTGATCAAGGAGAAAAGAGGAAGAATGAGAAAAGCTGTTTAGATGGCCTCGAGAAAAAAAATGGAGAGTAGTAACTGTGGTGGTTTTGCTATCCGCCTTTCGTGGTTGCGATTTATAATGACGTTTCCTCCTTAGCTTATTCCCTTTCCCCTGATATCCGGTTATCGTGCGTATTTGCCGCTTCTAGCGTCCAGATAAGCGTCGGTTTGGTCGTCTTTCTGTCGAGCTTTGGCAATTCCATCCGGGCTGATTAATATACATATATGGAATCTGCCAGAGTGAGGGGTTCCAGCGTTGCCGCCATTACTCATCACGAAGCAGACCGAAACCCTCGTCTTGAGATGGCGTAGCTTCGGGATTCGGAGTGTTTGGATATTTCTTCAAGTCCAAAAGCTGGGGTACCATGAAGTGGACTGCGATGCTTTTTGGTCTTTCTGTAGGCTGACATCTGCAACGCCACTGCAAGCTAGGATCTGGGGAAGAGAGAAAATTGTCTAAATTGCATGACTGCGGCAAAAGGATGCATCGCTATTGGCTGGGGTTTGCCGCAGGATGCCGCAGTTTCGGTCTCGGAGTGCAGCTTTAGGATTCGATGCTAGGATCATGGGCTTTGAGGTGTGGTGGGTGGGAGACCCTTGCCTCTTTTTATCCAACGTCCTGGTGGGCATTCGATCGATCGGTTCATCTTTGACTCGTTAGCGGTTGTACAAACATGAGGCGGGATTGAGACGACTGATGTGGGCTGTGACCAGTTTGGAACCCGCATGCATCATCTAGTCCCTATTTGTTAATATCTCGATCAGATTCACTCAAAACACTTGACAGGCATGATACATGTGCATAAGGTTGAATGAGATGAATCGAGCAGGTGTAATGGTACTAGCAAGTACCTGCCAGAGCAAATCCCTTTTCGTAAGTGGCCTACGTGCCGGAAGATAACTATCAAGGTCCAAAACTGCCCATGTTTCTAGCCAGGTTTCATTTACCAAACTGTACCACCCTTCGTAGACTGGCTTGAGCTGCTTGAAGCGTTAGCTTCTACAATGAACTGGTGACAAATCATGACAACTATACCCGATGACCAGATATAGACGTGTCTCAAACATATCCCGGACGATATCCTGATAGAAGTCAGTATGAGCTGCTCAATTCGAGACTACTTGTTTTCATGGACTTGACTAACCTATGTTGAGGCGTAGCGACTGCGGGAGTGGCAAGCAAACGGGTTATAACGTGTCTGTCTCTCCAGTCTCAGTTGTTTGACCAATACCATCTTCCTCAGACATGTACTCACAACTCTTCATCTTCATCATTCTCCCGAGGGCAAATTTTATTCGTCTCACTCGATCCTTCTAGTTGGGCATTCGTACGGCGTAGAACCAGCCCTCGTCGGTGACATACCATCGACAGTCACCTAGGTGGTCAATAGTAAATCGGTTGCGCTGGGTCCAATTACCGTCAACTTCGCGAACATAGTAGAAACGAGATGGGTCATCGTCCGATGGCTTGAACTCCTGAGGCTCGAACAACTTGTTCGCGTGCGCAAACTGAAGCTGCCGCACAGTTTCCTCTGCAGGGGTTCTCCCAAGACCAGACACATCGGGGATTTGGCCACCATTACCTGCTATGACGGGCATGCCGCCGACGCCAGGCACGCTCATCGCGGGAACAGTGTGCAATTGTTGAACGGGGATTGCAGCAGGAGCTGGTTGTCCGCCGATCATGACAGGCTGTTGGCCGACGAAGGGCTGTGGGACGGCGGCAGGCTGCTGAGCAACAACGTAGCTTGGGTGCGCGACTGGGACGCCGGCAACAGTTGGCTGCTGGAGACGATAGTTAGCAGGTGGGTGTGCAAGGGATGAAGAGTAAACGAAGCGAAGAAGACATGTGATGAAAGAAAAAAGAGCTGTGTGCTAGATAAAATAGGGGAGGTAAAGGAGAGAAGCCCCGAGGCAGCGAGGTAACTCGTAGAGGTAGCTGAAATGGAGAGCAAACGGGCCTCTCAACATTATGGAGGCAAGCACATGCGTCAGAAGAACAAGGAGAAAAACACCAGTCGAGAGAGAAGCGCTGCAGGTCAACTTGCATAGTAAGTGTAGCCGTTGTAGTAGAATGTCTTTGGCATCACAACGGAGCACGAGGCAGGGGCGGAAACAAACTGTACCGAAGGGAGACCGACTTGAACAGCAGCAGGCATGTAGCTCCCGTCAAAGCGAGGCACATAGACGTGCGGCATCGGGCCAAACGTCGTATCAGGCACGGGAGGCTGGAAGTTGATGCCAGCAGGCATCGGCGCTGCGTTTTGGTAGTCGGCCATGGCGATGTTCAGGGGCTGCGGATGTCCGATGTAGGTGATTGCAGGAGGAAGCTGCTGATGCTGCTGCGGAAGAGGAGAGAATGGGCCGTTGAAGAGCTGCGGCTGTGGCTGTGGGCGTAGGAAGTGAGCGGGCTGGTGCTGGCCAGGTGCAAAACCTGCAAACGGCTGGCCGGGCAACTTGACGCTCTGAGTCGGATCGACGGCCGTGTGCCACTGGCCAGCTCCCAGAGTGCTGAGAGGCGGTGCGCCGAGCTGAGGGAAGTTCTCGGGCTGGACGCTGGTGGTTTCGTCGGTCGAGGCCGAGGCCGGAGTGGTGGAAGTGGTTGGGATGGAAGAGAAGGGAGGGGAAGTAGAGGTGGAAGCTGGTGTTTTGGTGTTGCCTGGAGTCTGGAAGTGCACCTGACGAAGGGGCTCGCCTCCAGTCTTCAGCCGTCGGGGGGTCTTGGGAGACTTGAGGTCCGGTGCAGCTTCGGGCATTTTTAGGAGAGGGGCAGCAATTTCAAAGAAGAGGGATTGAAGGAGAAAAAAGAAGAAAAAGGGTACGAAGAGGAAGAGAGGTGCGTTTGTTGCTGTGGAAGGGAAGTGGGCAGAGAGTGAAAGAAGCCGGAGCTGAGCTGGCGTTGCTGGCCAATTCACTTTCACCATCTGAAGACAGCTGCGCGTTTGTCTTTTGTTCGATCCACATGTCGAATAAATTTCACAGCTGCGTCTAACTTTGCTCAAGCTCTTTGCCTCTGGGGAAGAGCTGCAGGTCCATGAGAGAAATGGAAGAAAAAGGGGGACCATCACAGGCTCTTTGCCCGAGGAATGAAGCACAATGCAACAAAACGACATTCAGTAGCAAACAATGGAGAAAAGACGAGATGAAAACAGACGAAATGTAAAAAGATACACTCACATATCGTTGCAGAGACCACGCCTGCCCGTCATGCACCCACACATGCTGCTCTGGCATTGAGTCCAACGGATCTTCGTATTCTGTCCACGACCAGGGAAAGCAAGGCAGACACATGTTGATTCAGGTAGTCGAGTAAACAAATAGTTTCAATGGTTTGGTTTGAAAGCTTGAGAGGAGAAGAACGAAGCGTTGTATTTTAGACGTTTTGTAGTGGTTGTTGTACAGGGTGAGGATTGAGCGGCGAAGTCGAGTGAAGAGGATGACAATACAACGGCATTGACGCTTTACACCCAAGCGAATCTCACTTGCTTGTTTGCCCATTGATTTGCACCAACAACAATAGGTTAATAGTCAGTATTTTCAAGCGGGCTGTGTTTCTTCCGTCTCGACTCCCTCTCGCCGTTCCCTCACTCAATGACCACTTTCTATAGAGGCTGCTTTAGACGACTCGACTTCCAGCAGTTGAATTCCCTAACTTTGAGCCCCTCTACCCAACACAAACATCACGAATCACTCAGCTTCACATAGACACATTTCCTTGGCATAAATTTGTTCAAATTCCACCATCATACACCCCTGTCCAGACACACTCGTTTTGAATCCAAACTTTGAAATTCATGACCAGACGCCCCCAGCCTATAACGTCTAAATGCTTCGCTGACCGGTTACCCGATATAATGTACAGTTCACTTTGGGGAGGAGAGATCATCTATCACCACCGTACAGATGTGTTTTTTTTTTCGTCTTCTTTCAGTCCAAACTCCCACGACACATCTGGCACTAGGCTTGAGGAGGCGCTCCCTGAATACTTTGTTTCTGTAATTCCCATGCCTCCTCTAGCCAAGTGTCTTTTCCTATCTTCAAAAGCCATTTTCGGGCCACCCATATGTGGTTGATTAATAGTGGTTCGTGTGTCGTCAGAAGAGTCTTTCTTCTTCATATGGTATTCGTTACAGGTTGTTTTTGGTTTGCTATATTATTACAAGGTGGCGTGCTCGGTATGGGCATGGACCTCTGGGACGGAGAAGAATGATCGTCGTACAATCTGTCCAGCATGCTACATTAGCCTTGTCATCTTCTTCATGCAGTTATCATGCATGGTCGACTTACCGCCCAGGCGCCGGCTGCGGAGGCCACCAGACCGCCGGAAATCATCATTGGCCGAACACCCTTGGTGCTCTTGAAGACCATGCCACTGAGCGCACCAGCAGCAATTGTGTTGAAGGCGTCATGCTCACCACGCAGGTAGCCAATCAGCGAGTTGATGCAGTTGTATGTGATGGCGACAACTCCCGCATTGTTGCCCAAGAATGGGCCCCGCCTCGTCATGGCGTTGAGGACGGCATTGAGCCGCAGCTTGGGGGGCTGACCGGATGATTTCCGCAGGCCCTCCTGGAATCCCCATGCGCCTCCTATGGACAGCGCCGTCAGGTATGTGATACCGGTGCCGTAGCAGAGGTCGTCGGTGAATCCTCGAGACGGCAGGACGGATTGGCCGCCCGGCAGGTCGGACAGCGTTGAGTCTTCAAGTGTGAGGTATTCCAGAGTGTCCCTGTTCAGTCCAGCCAAGGGATGCAATTGTGAAGGATCCGCAAAGGCCGAGCTCTGAAGAAAAGACTCGACGCCTGCACCCTGGGTCGGGTCATAGAGGTTGGTGGTAGGAGGGGCAGCATCGGGGAAGGTCTGGGTTTGCTGCTGCTGCTGCGGCTGGTGGGCGGGCTTGTTGCCTCCGGTAAACGCATTCCATAGAGAAGACATGTTGGGCGTCTGATTGTGAGTTGAGGAGGGCGAAAAACAAGCGCTGCGGGTGTCGATGACAGAGGGAACTGGATCTCACAGAAACCTGTCGCAGCCGGAAGATCCTGTTGGCGCCTCCGACTTTCAAAAAATTTCGGGAAGAAGCGCAAAGTGGTCCGTGCGCGGGTCTTCGAATTCGGAGAGTGCGGTCACGTGGTGCAAATATTGGATGCGCAGAAGCTTGAAGAAGAATTGGATAGCAAAATTTTGGTATGGAGGCGCTTTTGAACGCTCAGCTTTCGGCTAGATAAGGCGTTGTACATACGTCCTTATTCACTCAGAAGACGTCGACAAAAAGCCGAAGCAATTCGAATCTGAATGCAATGGCATATCGTAGGTTTACGCCTCAACGGCACATAGAAACACTCTGCCGTTTGTAGTATGTTTCCGCTGCTCGTACTGCCGAAAAAAACTCAACATGTACGGCATAGGTCACAAAAACAGAACCCGAGATTCTACATCTCCCTCGACATGACAGCCCAAGAAGATATTTTCATTTCTACGCGCAGCCCAACCCTAGGCCCTTTAAACCCACACCACCTGTCAAGCAAAAAAAAGACTATAAATGAGCAAAGATATGTCGAGAGACACCCACAGTCACAGCCCTCTAGAGGCGTCGACTCGCGGCTGATAGGAAAAGTGTATCACATTCAATTTTGGAGGCCGGGAACGGAAGGAAACCCACAGAGAATCAGGTTAACCCTCAGCAAGCCGCTATGCGGAGCCGCCGTTGTGAATTATTAAAACATTTGACGATGTAAGAATAACCCAACTGATGATGGGAAAAGGAAAAAAAGAAAATTCGCAAAGTCTGGCAGCGAAGTTCGAGTTTTATTCTTGCTCGGGAGTGGAACCGTGCGCTAGCCTGTATTTGGTTAAGCAAACGCTTGGATTGAGCTTTTGAGGAGCGGAAATTCAATTTGCCGAGACTGCTGGGTACGTCTCTATTCAGAAAAAAAAGTTAGAATGCCAGGAAGAGACAGTGGCAATTGGGTTCCATGTGTAAAGATCATTTTAGCAGTCATTATACAAGTGTTTTTATTCGTTATAATTATAGTCGTGAGTATACAGCAACTCGATATTTAAACCGTTATGCAGCCATCCCGAATTGCACAAATATCCGCCCATTTTGTTGTCCTGTTGAACCGTTTGATCACCATGTTGCCATGGCACAAGCTTTGCCAAGTGTCATCAATCCGTACCATACCCAAATGATTTTCTAAAAAAGGAAAAGAAATAGAAGCAAAATGAAGAAGGGCAGATGAGCCGAAAAAATGAGATAAGAAATGTCAGGAACAAATGTTACTCCAGATACTCTGAGCAAAATGCAGTGACCAAGATAATAAAAAAAAAAAGAACGAAAGGAAAGGAAAAAATAAGAAGAACGAAGAGGAAAACGAGAAGTTGTCGTATCAGGTATCAAAGCTCAAGGCGGCCGTCTCAGTCTCGATCAAGCAGTGGTCTGTTATCCCAAGACTCGTCAATGGCGCTGGTGTCGTCTTCGGCGCGGACCTCTTCTTCGTCGCTTTCTTCTTCCGTCCTGTACATAAAGTACTGGGCAAAAACACCAAAATCCATCAAAAGGGTAATGGCGCTGCCGGCCAACCAGCTAAGATTGACCAGGATGTATTTGCCATAGAGTCGTCTTGCTTCATCTGGCTCGCACGCCTCCTCGCCACAGCGTGGTTCATACACAATAATGGACAGGACATAGGTTGCGTTTCCGAGGCAGGCAAACAAGAAGAAGAGCATGCTAAGGCCTTCAGTTGTCTTGCGCCTCCAGTTGAGAATGAGCTGTGGCAGTCGAGAAGCAATGTAGAGAACCGCGCAAATATATCCAAACACTTGACCCAAAGTGTTGAACTCGAGGGAGTTATCACCGTCGTAAGCGGGAGATTTCTTGTCGCCAGAGGCCCTTTCACCCAAAAACCATCCTGCGATTCCAGCGGCGCACACCATAATGATGACAATTGAATTCCAGACAATGGTTTGGAAGGCAGTCGGCGGTGGCTGCGGAGTGGTCGGTGGCTCGAGAAGATGCGGCACTGCTGGCGAGAAGCCAGACCAATCCGAACCACGCCGGCCATGGTGATCTCGGTGATGGCCATGGTGTTCCACTCTGGCAATAAGGGCAGTGTATTCATCCACAGGGGCAGGAGCGGCCGCCGATGTCGAAGAGTGGCCATTTGTCTTGGGCGGGGATGGAGTCGGCTCGTCGCGCCACGTAAATCCGCGATAGTAAAACAGCTGACAGAGCAGTACGAGATCGGCAATGGTGTAGTAGATGGCTAGGATGATCTAGAGGCAGAAGTGTCAGCTTCATGTCGAGGTCACGCGAGCAGCGGGCAGCATACCATGGTGGGGAGAACTCCCTGCAAGACGGCTCCGAGGATATTGAAGACATCTCCCAGGAGCCAAGCAATGATGAATTGAATCGAAAGAGCGTCGGCGCTGCTGCGTTGGAAGTTTTGTATGATTTGCGGAGAGAACACGACCACTGGAAGGGAGTTAGCTGGTGCGCTCTCACAACCACCCTGGTATAACGACGACGTCACTGACCCCAACAGGCTATAGAGATGGATCTGGCGAAAGACAAAGGTCAGCGATGGTATAGACAATCAGAATGGAGAGAACATACCCGCAAATGCCCGAGATTGCCTCAACATCGAGGTTGAAGGTCTGCGTTGGAGGGGCCATGGTTGCTGGCATCTTGCTGAGCTTTCCGAGCTCAAGTCAATGACGATGATGCCGCGCGATGACGGCGCCTTGGTGAAGATGGATATGGAGATGGAAATGGTGGTTATGCGACGTTGCGAATTGGCAATCCAAAGATCCCTCAGACACGCCGCCGGATTCTTCTTTGAAGTAAGGGAAGATGAGGAGAGCAAACCATTGAGTCAGGCAAGTTTTTTTTTTTTCTCCGTCACGGCACTGCCGTAGGCAAAACTTGTTCTACCTTGTTTGTCTCACAATTTGCAGCTAGAAGGAAATTTCCTATTGCGGCCGCATTCGGCACGTGCCCTCGCGCCTTTGGTCGCTGAACTGTGAATTACAGCGGCGATGGAGCTTCTGCAGCGTCTCCACTTGGCCACTGAAAGCGCTAATGACGCTGCATCTCATGTTCTCCTACAAGGATCGGGTATTAATGCGGGCAGTCGATGGTGACGGTATACAAAAATCTTTAGATTGTCAACCTCAAGAGAATAGACTCCGATTAATTGTTCACCATCGTACAAGACTAATGGAGTCATACAATCGTATCTAGTGATGGCACATAATCTTATTATTTTCTGTAGCTTTAGTAGCTCCAGTGGACCTTGATTCTGTGTGGGTGGTACAAACAAAGGGAAGCTCATGCATGCAACTACATGTACCTACGCCGAGGTAAATGGCTTAGTCACCTTGGGAGCAGTACTGTAACAAGCTCATCCATCTCTCAACGCAATCATTCACCTCATCCTATATCACTCTGCGAATAGAGAGCAGAAACGGCAAGATGCTCATCATCGGACTTACTGGGTCCATTGCGACCGGCAAATCAACGGTTTCTTCACTTCTTTCATCACCGCCTCACTCATTGCCCATTGTCGACGCCGATGTCCTAGCTCGAGAGGTTGTCGAGCCCGGCACAAGAGGCTATCGTGCCATCGTCAAGCATTTTGGTCCCATGGCTCCAGACCTGCTTCTTCCAGCTTCAGATACCATGCCGGAGAATGGACCCAATGGCAAGGGACGGCCGCTGAATAGGGCTGTCCTGGGACGCCTTGTCTTTGGCGATGAGCCCGAGATGCAGAAAAACAGAGCGGTGCTGTCTGGGATTGTCCATCCAGCTGTACGGCTGGGAATGGTCAAAATGGTGACGGCCTGTTATCTCCAGGGCTACTGGGCAGTGGTGCTGGATGTCCCGCTTCTGTTTGAAAGCCGGCTGGATAAGTTCTGTGGAACAACAATGGTGGTTGCCGTGACGGAGCCAGAGACGCAGCTCAACAGACTTGTGGATAGAAATCAGGATCTCAGCAGAGAAGACGCCGAGAACAGGATTAAGAGTCAGATGGATGTGCGGCTCAAGGCAAAGAGATGTCTGTATGGGGGTGATGGAAAGGGGGTGGTGCTATGGAATGACGGATCCAAGGACGAGCTCAAGGCCGTGTTGGACGAAGAGATGCGGAAGCTGAAAGCAGCGAATCCTGCGTGGTGGTCATGGCTGATGCTTGGATGCCCTCCATTGGCAGTGGCACTGGCAACATGGAGGTTTTGGCAGAATACCAGAGTTGAGAGACAGTGGAAAGAGTTGCAGGAAAAGGAGGCCAGCACTTGAACACTTGGTAGCCAAAAGAGTATGAGTAATGAACAACAGACTACAGTACCAACAGACACTGAAAAATGGAATTGAGAATGAAAATGTTACTTTTTGCTTTGGGGGTTGACAATTGGTGGGCGGTCAGATAAAACCAGCTGACATGAGATTTTGGGAGTTTGGGTGGCTCGCACGCCTCGTTGGCAGCCTGCCTCCTCTTCCTCTCCCTCTTCCTTTTCGTAGCTTCTCTCCACCTCACCTCTCATTTTCTTCACATCACCAAACGGACGAATTTCATCGGGTACTGACCGCATTTGGCACCTATTCTTCTCTAGTATCATTTTCCCTTTATCTCTACTGGAGTCTATTCAAGTTATTTTTCTTCGGCTAGTTGCGCTCCTCACTTTCAATAATCTCGCGGCTGATGCTGATTTTGGCCTCACTTTCGTCTCATCTTCGCCAGCATCAATGAAATCTCATTTACATTTATTCTAGCAATATTCGCTACTACTATTGTCGCAATCATGCCCAAGCAGCCGGGCCCTTCCCTCCTCTGCGAGTGGATGGTGGGAACAACCATCAAATCAGCTCTTGGTCCGCCTCCTAAACCGCCAAAACCCAAGGCAAAAAGGCGCGACGTTATCAAACTTCACGTAACGACAGATGATGAATCCGGCGAAGACACCCTCACGGTTACTTACCCTCGGCCTGAGAGGCTAAGAGAAAAGAATGCGACACCAGCTGAAGTACCCAAAACGCCAGAGCCCCAGCCTGAGCCTGAATCGGAGTCGGAACCTGAGGTGGTGGAAGTAGTAAAAAAGGTTCGGTTCGAGAAAGAGGCAATCCCGAAGAAGTCTGCCCTGAAAAAGAAGACATCAGTCACATTCTGTGAGGAGGAAGAGACAAGTGCTGATGCCACCTCTACCTCTGCTTCATCTGGAGAGGCAACTCCCGATGCCAGCTCCTCTAATGCGAGTTCAGCTGCTGAAACATCATCTGCAGAAGAAACTTCTTCCGGAAGTTCTTCTATTTCGGCCAAACCGTCAAAGTCAACAAGGTCTCCCAAGAGCAAGAAGGTGGAGAAACGAGTCCAAAGTTCAGATAGTGAGGCCGACTCTGAGCCTCATCCAACATGTGAATGCAAAGAATGCGCCTCGGGAAGAAAGAAGCAAGGAGTTACCTGTGAGAAGAAGAAGTGTAAAAAGAATGACAAAAATGGAGGATCCAAAAAGAAGAAAGAAGCAGAGTCCGAGTCCGAGACTTCGGTATCCGGAGCAGAGTCTTCGGTTGAAGAGAAGTCTACACCGTCCAAAAAGTCAAAGGAAAAGAAGAAGGAAAAGAAGAGAGCTGAGTTCTCCAGTGCTGAAGGAGAAACTTCGGAGTCAGCAAAGGAAACTGAAGGCGAATCTGAAGTAGTAGTGAAGAAAACCCCCGAGAAGAAGAAGAAGAACCAGGAAAGTGAGAAGACGGAAAAGGCTGGAAAGAAGACGAGCAGTCCAAAAGGTGAAGAGAAAAAGAAGTCTGACGAAGAAAAAAAACCCGAGAAAGAAAAGGAGAAGGAAGCAGAGGAGGCCCCGTCCGAAAAAACACCAACAGGGAAGGGAAAGGAAAAGGAAGTCGATGATACTACTCCCAAGGCAAAGGATATGGACCAGAGGTTGCATGTCTCAGACGGCTATCACTACACGCACTCTCATCCCCCAAATCTCATTGCTCCTATCCGCGCAGAAGTCATGCAAACGGAGCGTGTGGTTGAAACACAAGATGATCCTCCCCCGAATGCATACTATGATGGTCTACATGGTGTCCTTCGCGTATATCATGGAGCCGTGTACGGGCAGAATGGACATCGCATGTTTGCTGCTCGAGAAAATACTATGGGACCTCCGCAGTCCTTTGGCAATTCGAATCAGACGCAAAACCCATACTATCATGGCTACAACAATGTAATGCCGATGCCGTTACCTCAACAGCAGCTGCCACCGCATGGATATGAGCATGTGCCGATTACCCAAGGCCTGCCAATACCAGGTTGGAGTGCCATGGCGCCGCCTCCTGGCTATCCACCGTACAACTACCAAGGACCGCCTCCGATGCCTGCGGCCTGGTACGAACAACAACTTAATGGGCAAGGAACCAAAGGCACATTCAGCATGTATAATGGCATGGGCGGCACACCTGATAGGAAAGGAAAAAATAAACCACGAGAGCCAGACAATAACGTGATGCCAGAGGTGACAAAGGTATGTAGAAGCTCGAAAGATTATCCCTGTTGTGTTCGTTCAAAAAACGCTGACGTGACAAAGCCAAACCCGTATTATACAAAAAGACAGTCCCCCTTTAGCAACATGGGTAGCAACCGATCTGACGGTAAACCGCCATCTCATTCCGGCCAATCCAACTGCTCCAAAAACGGGAACAGAGATACGGGTCCCAACTGGGATACCGCTTCACGAAGGAGCGTCGGAGCATGGGCGAACAGCAGTAACCATGGGGCTACATGGGGCGATGGTGGCGGCGATACGAACAACAACAACCAGGGAGGTGGTAATCAATGGGGTTCTGGTGGCGGTGGTGGCGATACATGGGGCACGACAAACAATAATAACGATCAGTGGGACAGCAACAATAATAACAACAACTCAGGGGCAGATCCATGGGGAGCTGCAGGTGGAAACGATCAGAACAACCAAGGGGGCTGGGGTACAACTGATAATGGCAACAATGGTGGTAACACCTGGGGCGATGGGAATGGAATCGACAATCAGCAGACGAACGATAATAACGGCAATGGCAGTGGCCAGGGACAAGGACAAAACTCTCCAGCAGGGGGAAATGATCCCCCTGCCTCCATGGTGGACAACAATGTTATCCCTGTGGCTGCCGTAACAGGTCCGCCGGGTGAACAGGAGCAGTCCAAGATGCCGGGAAGCTGGTGTTCGGATGATAATGGACAGGCGGCGTTTGTGGATCCAACGTGGTCATCGTATCAACCTCCGCCTGCGGTGCCTGCTTGGGGGGATCCATCGATGGCAGCGAATACGGGAGGAGCGGTGGACTGGTGAGGTAAAGGCTGGTTGGTATATCGGAGATTTAAAAGGTGTTCATAGGTATATGAATGTCGTGGAAAATGGGTTAAATCTAATGGGCTGGATCTGAAGAATCACAAGGTGGAGGTTGAAGATGGGTCCTCATCTTGGAAGACAGTGTCAATGGTGCCACAACTAGTATCATCATTCTCGTCTATATCCGTCTTCTAATCATTCATACAAAACGGAAACTTTGAGGAGATATAGCAAGGGCAGAATGACTCCTATCATCTTAGCTTGTTATCCCAAGGATGAAATACATCCTTCAATACCACTAATATCTCCGTCTACGCCTGTCGTTCCGAGCGACGTATAAATCGCCCAATATATCCAATTTCCTAGCGTTGTCCTGCCAATTCAGCTGCCATATGCAGTTGATTAGCTTGCTTTGAGGGCTTCGATTCCCATGGCGTCTCCCTTTGCTAGTGCCCGAAAAATACACCCATGAGACGTACTTCTTTCTGAAACGGTACGCGGCCTCCGATACATAAGATTTGCTGTGATATTCTGATAAACGATTTGAAGAAAAGATGGCATCCCAATGGTACCAAACTGTTCCAATAAGTAATTCGGGACACATTTCATCGCGGGGAAACCGAATGTCTTTTACAGTCCCCGTTCCTCCGAATATAAAATCGGGGACTGTTCCTCTTGCGAAACGTCTTACATTCTGTCTCACGCCATTGACACGGCTTCGTTGCCGACGATCTTGTCCCAGAGTGAGAATAGGTGTCGTTCTAATAGCTTGCTTTACAAGGCGAGGTTCGAGTGGTCGCTCATCAACTGTTCTTCTTTTGGACAATATCTCCCACACTGCCGTCAATACTTGCTCACCACTGTCCCTGATGTGGACAGGGCCCTGCGCTGTTGATCTTGACAAAATCAAATCTATTTTCTGCAAAGTCATACGACATGTCAGCCACGTATGCCCATCATTGCTACCACGAATGTGGACCTCCTTTAACAATGGTAGAGAGGCCACAATGGGCTCCATAGTCTCGGCCAACAAGGTTAACCAGTTGGTCAAGGAGTCTGAGCGGTAAAAGAATTTCTCATGTCTCAGGACGCGCAAATTCGGACAGAGTTTGGCAATGGCGCGGAGACGATTTCCTGGCTTCCCCTTCTTGACGCCGTTGCGATTATAGGGGGTGGGTAGTGTGAGGGTGATGTGTTGTATGGCGTTGCGGCGGGACGGTGTAATAGCAGCAACATAAGTGAGGCAATCACGACTTCTGGGAAATTGGAATTCGTTGAACTAGAGATAGTTGAAGGTTAGCATATAATGTGAGGTTAGTGTCAAGTGTCATTCGCTATTTACCTTGTAAAAGAGCATCCAATACTCCTGGTCCTGGTAAAACAGCCGACAAGTCTTCATGAGAGCATTAAGAACAAAGATACTGTCCTGATCACTTCTCCTCAAAGAAAAGAAGGTCTCTGTTGCATTGTCTCTGGGAATGTGCACTGGCATAACTGGCCCTTTGCACTCTATCGAGAAGAGCATACACCATATCTCGTAGCGGATCTAGATCAATTGGTAGAGAGGAATTGAGTTAGCATGATTCCGATACCAACTGTACATAATATGTAGTTGAAAGGGCGAATGGATGACAGCACATACCTCTGCTGGCAATTTGGCAAACAACAAGTTGCCATTTCGAGAAGGCTTATGCTTATACGATTTCTTCGGCATGATGCGAGCCAAGTAGCCAACTGAGAGGTATACTGTGGCCTCTTCGTCGACTGTGTGTGCGTCCGATGGCTGAGAAAGGATGCACTTTCGTTGGCTGACGACACGCGTCTATATATCTTTTCTTCCTCTTCATGTTCCCCAGAGTCACAATGTCTTCCAAACAAAAGTAATTCCAAATCCGTCGAATCCGGGAATCAACTCACACCATGTATTTACAGCACAGGTCAAATCACTTCCTTTCCGTTCTCTATTTAGGCATTAAAAGCTGTTGCGAAGCCTAATTCAATTCGTTGGACTCTAGGTTAACTAGTTAATTCCCCAAGTTTACTCGGTTTAGGCCTCCATCCAAACACACGAGAAGGCCAACCTCTTTCTGTCCCTTTTGTTCGAGACATCTACTTGCGCAAATCTCCCATGGTTTCTTATATGTGCTACAATTAATCATTGTATTCAAGAGGCCATAGTAAATCATACTTTAGAGGCACAAAGTTAATGGATCCAACCCGAGCGTAATACGACTCACTCTATGCAAAAACAATGAGAGTGACTAGCCCGCACCCCAAATTGGCTGTCTTGCATCCCAGACATATTCACTGTCTTGACTGGTGCTATTCACCCTATTGAATTTGAGACGCGGTTTTCTCTATGGCTAACTTGGAATGGTAACATGAATACTTTAATCTGGAATTTGAACATGTTCAGAAAAATACTGATTGAATCGTACTAAGCTACAAGGCAACGAGCCGGCGTAGCATCATCCAACTACCTCTCAATCAGCTACCTGACCCATCGTCCCCCTGAGTCCAGAGTGTAGCTTAGTAATGAAATATCCACCGGCAGCATATCCAAAGCCTGAAGCGGGATGCCCTTGTGAACAGGAGTGCAGCCCAGTATCTTGGCTCGAATGGAAGAGCCATAGCTAGCCACCATGACAAATCGTCCCCCTCCATCGGGCATGGGCCGCATAGGTAGAGATGATTCTTCCCTCTGAGCTACTCAGGATGTACCATCATCTCCGACACGAACCCATAGGCATATCTCAACTGATCTTGAACTGACAGGCGTGTTAATTGGTTCAGAGTATTTGGCGAGGGCGGCGGTATCTCATACATAGGCCGTGCTAGACTGATTGATACACGGGCTGTATCTAGGAATGGTTTGGTATTGGTGGTCATGATGCCATCGGAAAGAACGAGATTACCATAGGTAAAACGCGAGATACCGTCTACCACTACGCGGTAGTCCTCTCCAAGCCATTGCGCGCGGCGAATGTGTGCGAGCACCCCGATGTGAGAGACTTTGTCGTGCGGACTCCTGACATGAGAGGGCAGGCCGTGCGGATTGTCCATGATGAGTATTATGCCAAGGATCCGTTGTGGTTGCTGCATTGCTTTTTGTAGCGTCTTTCGAACCGACTTGAGGTGTCCTGTCGTTCCCGTGGTGAATTTGTCTAGTTGCATGGTTGTATTAGGTGCGACCATCTTCCTCCACATCACAATGGGGAGATTGTTCCATTCACGCGTAAAGATTGCAAGCTGCCGACGCAGGTGCTCCACCTGCTGATCTTTATATAACGTCCCAACAATAGCCGAGAGGACCTGATTGCGCACGAGCGTTTGTGATGACATTCCCGATAAAGATTCACCACAATAGGGGCATGGTGACGATGTTTTGATGGCGAGGAGTAAACACGCGTGGCAGAACGTATTACAACAAGCTGCCACGCAAGGGTCCTGCAACAACTCTTTGCACAGCTGACACATCAAGTGACTCTCTGCTGCTATTCGAGCGGACTGTATAGCCTCCTCTTCGAGAGCGCCCTACTTTTCCGGGGATAGCCAAAGCTCGAAGTAGCTGATATCGTTCTCCCACCCCAAAATACCGTCTTGAACAAGATCCCATATGGCCAACAGCTTACCATGCTGGTAGGATTTGTGAATAATCCTGGACTCGGACTTGGGCGTCGAGATATTCAGAACTCCGACCTCTGCGCACAAATCCATATTAAGGGAGGCTACACGTAAACACTCCAATTCTGTTTCGAAACAGGCTGCCACCATTCGAAGTGTTGGGTCAATTCGGCCATGTTGGGAGTCATGGACGTTCCTGCAAATTGGGCACGGCCCGGAGGGTTGACACTTTTGACAACAATGATAGCCACATGGTAGTATTAGAGGCTCGGTGATAACCCTTGAGCATATGAGACACTGAAAAAGTCGTACAGTTTCGCGAGGCGTTGGCGTATATGAGCTTCCCAGACCCTGTGGCTGTTCCGCCATGTTTTGGAATATTCGCTCTCCTAAGTCAAGAAAGTAGACGCTGATGTCAATATTTGCTGTTGAAGCTTGGTGAATAAATAATGACGGGGATATATGACGAATGCCTGAAGAATATCTTCTCGCTCCTGAGACTGTGACGAAGCTAAATATCACCAGGCCATCTCAGACTGCCTCAGGTAGCGGTTTCTCACTAACCTTTTTGTCAGGACAATAATTTCCTCTCGCTAGTGGCGAAGAGAACACATCAAGAGAAACAGCTTTCTTCAAGGAGTTTGTTTTTGAAAATGCACTGATATTAGTAGGGATTGTAGCTACGATGCTGTATACTAGGTAGTACGAAGGTAAGGTACGAAAGTACTAGGTCCCATTCCCTTCTCAAGGAATCAAAGCCAAAGCGGTCAACAAGATAAGATAAGTCATAGGCGACGCACACATAAATAACTTCATATCGTTCATAACCAGATATTTTACATACTAGATCCCATCTAATCGTATAAAGCGCAAAACCATAAGACATCCCTCGCATCACAACGCTCCCCAACGCCTATCATTAAACCAGCCCGAGAGATGCCGATCTCAGCAACTCATTATCGAGATGGGCTGTTGATGAAAATGTTCCCAACAGCTTGAGCACGCGCTCCTCCCAACCAGGTAAGGATCTCATACCAAAATCCTCGTATCGAGTCTATTAACCATTAAATCATGCTCTCAGCACTTCCAATCCTCCAGTCTCTTGTACATCCAGCCGCTGGTGTGCTTCAGGGCCGTCTTCCTCTGCGACATGCCCGGCGCATAGCCCTGGCCCATATAGACCTTGTCGTCCATCTTGCATAGATCCTCGACATAGTTCCACTGCATGCACATTGTCCAGCCTTGACAAGCCGCCTCGCACGCCTTAACCGACTCCCAGGCATTTGCCCACAGCGCCTTGTCGTACTGGCCATTCTCTGCGCCCGGCTTGGGAGCCCATTCTCTGTTGCCGGACGAAACCTCGAAGACACCCGAGTAGTTGTCCCACCACTCGGCGTGCTCTTTGATATTGGGAAGGATCATGGCGTTGAAGAAGTCGCGGTGCAGCAGCGGCCCCTTGCTCCAGTCCCAGCTTTGCTCCAGCTCGTAGTAGCGAGCGATGTCGCGGTTGTGCACCTTGTGCCACGATAGCAGCGGCTTGCACCAGTTGGCGTTGGCAAACGCAAAGGCCCAGTGGACCACGGGGTTGAAGCCAAATGTGAACTTGCCGTCGCCGCCGTTCTCGCCAAACTTGACGCCGTGCTTGCGCAGTGCGTGCGCGAGCACCTGGTCGCCGCAGCAGTGGTCGGCCGTGTACTGGTAGTATTCCTCTGTCAGGCTTCCATTTCCGTTGCCCTGCTTTCCAAACGACTGCTCCCACGCTCCTCTGGACAACGCGAAGCCCGCGCCGCCGTGAGCAAAGATGACATCTGACTTGGCCGCATAGCTTCCCAGGTAGTGCGGCTCAGTCGAGTCGAACTTGGCCAGGTAGCCCAAAACGGCTGGCAAGAAGAGATATGCGTCGTCTTCCATGTATATATACCACTTGGCTTTGGGCCAGTTGTCGCCAGCATGCTGGATCAGCGGAACGAACTTGTACTTGTCGATGATCCAGCCTCCCACGGGGCCCCATTCATCGCCATTGACGCCGGCGGCCTCGACATAATAATTGTTGGCCATATACTCGGGCTGCTGCCGGTAGACGTCAAAATCAGGCTGGGCTTTTGCTGTAGAAGACATGTTGGCGAGCACGTCGATGACGTTGTAGGGGCCAACCCGCTCCGGCACATCGGAGTAGATGACGGTGTTGGCTAGGGGGATTCGGTCCTGGGAGAGCGACGTGGTGAAGTGCACCAGCATCCGCTTCCAAATGGTGGTACCGCCAGTTTTGACAATGAGGAGAACGTCATCTGTAGAGAGGCCATTGTATGATATGGCCTTGCTGGGCTTCTTTTCTTTGTCCGTCGTCTTGTGGCTGTTGGTTGGCGCAATGTATTCCACCTCTTTGGATGGCGCCTCTGCCGTTTCCGCTGTCGAGCTTGTGCCTAGATCGACCGGCTTCCGTTGGCCATCAGACAGCTCCACTTCCTCTACGACGATGCCCTTTTGCTTGACCACCGGGTCATAGCCATAGTTCTCCAACGAGGGGTCAATAAGGCAGTAGAAAAGGACAACGCAGACGGTGATGATGAGTGCTGGTATCAGCCGGTTGTTTTTGTATGTTACCAACATTGTGAGGGAAGCAGGAGCAGCAACGGGTCCGGTACATTCACTCACTCAGAGCTGCGAATTTGAGTAAGGAACTGACACGAGCTTGTGGAAAGGGGAGAGAAGGAGAAAAGAAGAGAGAAAGAAGAGGTCAAGCCCGCTGTCGATCTCGCGCCGGGATTCTACGCCGAACCGGATCGCCAACTACTTTGGCACTACCAGCGCACATACTCCGTATAAGTAGTGCTACTATTTATCCGGCAATTCCACATGCACGCAAAAGGGCCTCTGGCGCACAAAGACTCCATAAACACGGAGGATCCAGGTGAGCCAAGACAGAAAGCTGCTAAATTTGAGCTGGCTCCGCGCGATGACTTGTTCCGGCATAGAGACGGAAGAGAGAGAAGCCCCCTTTGACTCGCATGACACGCACCGCGCCAAGCTGAAAGCTGAAAGCTCGCTTGTACGAACTACGGCTGGCACCAAAGAGACGAAGAGAGAAGAAAAAAAAAACAATGCCTGCCTGCCTCATGGACCGCCCCTGGATGGCCCCAGAAGGAGATTGCCAAAACGGGTAACTGCCGGACCAGGAATACTCAGCCCCTGGTTAGAGTGCCGCTAGAGTGAAAAATGGCGCCGCCGGTGTTAGAAATTTGGTCCCTCGCTCGCCCAATTCCGTGCTTGGAACGGCTTCAACGGAATCGTTCTTGGCGCTGTTTTTGTTCTCCTTCTTCTTGCACCGATTTTTCGAATTTTTGTTTAGTTATGAGGCTATAGTGTCTCATTCTTCAACTGCCTATACAGGAGGGTAAAAAAGAACGAGTGGCAATATCGGAGATTAAAACAAACTTGCCGGTTACACGCTCGTATGTATGGAGTTGTGGCAGAGGCGGGATGTTAACGCTTACGACTAATAAGTGGACCGGGATCGGGAACTCGTCCATGGATTAACGTGGATCACGCTGCCTATCCGTGTGCCAAAATACTTCGTATTATGTGTGGTGTCTCTCAGGCGACAAGTCATACCATGCAAGCAACCATCTTCGTCTGTAACACAGGTATGATGACATAATTCATATTTCTTTGATTTTCCAATTTCTCATCTTTGAATTGTTTTTATGTCATTGTGGATACAGAACGACTTATACAGGCAGGACAAAGTGTAATGCTGACATGTTGTCTTAGTCTTTTAAGGAAGTTGTCTATAGAACGTTGCACGTTGGTTTACTTTACAAAATATCTCCAAGAATAGTACATTTAGTTGTGTTCATCGACATACGACTATATCTATTCGCGAAACTTATAGTTACATACTTAACTATTTTAAGCTTCTCGTGAAAAGCGAAGAACTTGGGGTCTCTCTCATCTCACAAGGACATGCCATCTTTGGTTAAGAGCCTCTTCAAATTCCACGTGGAGGTAATTAAGAAGACATCGATGCCACCGAAAGCCGGTGCGCTGTTACGGTAGTCGGACATGCAAGCCACCAGCCTGTAATCGACAGAAGTGGCGAGGCCGTGAGAGCGATGTTGGCGAGGAAAGCATCACGAGGGATAGAAAAGCTGATGTTGAGAGATGTGAGTTGAGGAAACTGCCGTTTATGTTACTTGAGTGGATACGATGACCGGATGTCCTTGTGCTTTTTCGCTGGTTGTATGCTTGGACACTGTTTTTCTCAGCTCTGTGGTTGTCTTCTCAACTGACTGACGACGTCATCAAGCCGCAACTAATATTCTCGTTCATTGCCTATTCAGTGTGCATTCTTTCACGACGTCAGCCTAACTGTATCAGTCCGAAGCTGAAGTATTCCGAGCAGCCTCCCGCCAACAAAAGGCTGTGAAACGAGCACGGACATTTACTTGCACATGTGCAAAGTGCGTTCGCATCGAAAAGAACGCAATTGCCTTGGAACCGGTCCTTTCAACTAAGACTATGGACGGTGCCCAGCTGAATCAAATCTCGGCCCCTATGCAGGAAAGGGCAAGGTAAGGATATACGACATAAGAAAAATAGTCCAAAAGAGAGAAACCCGAACAAGGATCAGAATCCCATTCGTACCGCAAGCCAGTTGCCGGTAACAAAGTCGTCTTTGGCATTGGTCTTCGTCCAAATTAACCCTTGCTGCGCCCCCTGTCGTGTCTAAGCCAAAGGCAGCTTTAGCCTGGTTGTCCGCCAAGAGGAGCGCGCTACTCGTAAAATTATACGGAGCTGCGGGTTGAAGCTCACCCGAGGAATTAAGAGGCGAATCAACGATTGCCGGAGAAGAAAAAAAAAGAGCGAAAAGAAGACGAAAAAAACTGGGACAGTTGACAGGGCTGATGAGAGAGAGAAAAAGAAGAAGAGCGTAACCGTCCAGATCGAGAAGCTGGGTGCAAAAAATGGACACTCTCGGGCCAACTGGAACTCACAGCATAAGCACGCTGCTCTTTTCTCTCGAATCGGCCGCTCAGCAAACATCATGTTCGACTAATCATTCACGAGAATAAATTTCGTGTCATGTTACGTTGCTGAGAGAGTCATTCCGGCAGCCGTCCTCTGACTCCGCCTCTTGCTGCCTGGATACGATACTTGGCAGACATCTCGGCATCTCAAGTCAGACGAGTATCCATAATGGCTAAGGTAGTTGGCATACGCTTAGCTCAAGTTGTCAGTCCCTAGCTCCCCCTTTTTTCTCTTATCTTGCACCTATTCCCGATACTTTCTTTATTTTTTTTTCTTTGCCGAAGTAGCCTAAACAAGTGCAGTTCTTGAATCTGCAGCCACTCGTTTCTTGTTCACCACTCTTTTCTCTGCTCAGAGGTTGCTAAATCCCGGCCTAACTCGCCGTGGACCAACACATCATGGACTCATTCCAAGATGTTTCGGTCCCTCAGATCGTCACAAAGGGCCGCCACACTTCATGGCTTCGCATGCTGCTCCACGTTGCGGGCTGCTTGCTCTTCACTCCCCTTTATTGGGCTTTTGCCATCCACTGTCGTTACCCTGTCACGCTAGATCTCATCTTGACTATCCTCCTCACTGAGCTGAACCGACTTGTCAATGAAGGCCGAAGGCTTCAGTTCTATGAAGAGGATCCAGAACCGATGATGCCCCCTCAAGATGAGAAGTCTGATGACGGCTTTTTCGATGAAAAGAAAGTAGGCTTCACGGTCACGGAGACGCAAATTGTACCGCAGTCGAGGCTGGATAGTATGGCCGCAGTGGTGGGATGGCGTGAAGATCCTGCTTTGTTTACCAGGGCACTGGAGAGTTACAAAAGTGCTATGCATTGCAAGTTTATGCTTGTTGGCATTGACGGAGACGACGTGCCTGACCAGGACATGGTCGACGTCTTTAACAATGTAAGTCATCATGGTTCATATCTAAAGGCATCAAAACCCACTAACACGAGTGAACCCGCTAGGTATATCCCACCCAGTCAAAGGTTGTCCATGTTCCTCAGCCCCTTGGCGAGGTAGCAGAGCAGTTCATTACCAAGCATGTTTCCATCTGCAAGCAAAACGGCCAGCCCATCAACATGAGCGAGTGCCATGAGATTGCCATTCGGCACTGCTTCCAGCTTGCCCGAACCATCCTCGAGCAGGAAAAGATCGACCTCGCCAATGTACGCCATATATGCCTCCGCCAACGTCACATGCACAAGAAGGGTATCATGTTCACTACGTTCATCTTTGCTCTTGTCATCGCCGACGTCCTGGGCATCGAGTTCTTGTGGTCGTCCGACTCAGACACTTTGGTATTCCCCGGCTCTATCCACAAGACTGTCGATGCCATCGCCCACGACCCTACGATTGGCGGCGCCAGTTCCGGACTCGTCGTTCATAATGGATACGAAACTACTGTGACAAATCTCGCCGCCACCGTCTACTGGGGCGAGCTGTACCTGACCCGTTCAATGCCTGCTTTCACTGCCACGAGCGACTGCCAGAGCGGTCCCAGCACTGTATTCCGTCTCGCCGCAATGCCCGCAATCCTGATCCCCTGGTATCTCCAGAAGCTGATGGGGAAACGCATGATTATCAACGAGGACCGACATCTCACTACTAACCTCCTTCTGCGTGGCTGGGGCGTCGTGTTTGCTTCCGACGTTCTTACTGCTACCGACACTCCTACGACACTGGCTCGCTGGCTGAAGCAGCAAGTCCGGTGGGCGCGCGCCACGCACATTGAGTCTCTGCTACAACCCAAAGTCTATCTCATCACGCACCCTCTGCTCTTTTATAGCATGAGCAAGCGCGAGTTTGGCCCCATCATCGCCTTCATTGCCACTATGTGGTACTTTTTCACCGGCGAGCGACTCATCATTGTCTTCATCTCCGACCTACTTGTGCGTATCGTGGCTAGCGCCCTATACAACCTCTTCCGCAACCCGCACCGCTTGGAACGCGCCTCTCTCAAGTGGATTATCCCCGGCATGTTCTTCTACCACCTGCCGCTGCCCGCCGTCCACGTCTGGAGTCTGTTTACCCTAACGGCCGACGGCTGGGGCACGAGCATGCGCAACAGCAGCGAGATGGCCAAGAAGGACAGCGTCAGACAGGCGTGGTGGGAGACGGGCTTCTTTGTGGGCTGGATGGGTGTCGTGGCTGGTTGCGTGGCCAGATGGGTGGCGACTCACAACGAGATGCAGGAGAGGGAGATTTTGGCGGCCATGGTGGTGAGTTTTGCGGCAGCGGCTGCGGTGGCCTGGAGATTTACTATCCATCAACCGTCATGATAGTGATTACGATGAAGAAAGATGTTGATGACGAATATGTTGATGTTGGAGAGGAGAATGAGGCTGCGAAAGTGTACAATTTATAGATGAGTGCATGTGATGCTACGATGCATCCCGGATGGTGGATTCATGGATAACGGGCAACGGACGCTTCTCACAAGCGCCGGTAATGACTTTTATGTATATTAATTAGTAGTAATATCTTAGACATGATAGAATAAGCGATGACATTTTGTTGAAACCCGAGACATGAGACCTGAGACTTGCAGAGTGGTGTTCTGTTTGAATACGTGTTAAGTGGTTCTGATAGGACATAGCGGGACACGAACTTTGACGCGCTTTGTAAATGGATGCGGATCAACCCACTTCTAGCCCGGTATGACATAATTTTTGGACTGCGCTGAGTGAATGAGACGAGGGAGAGGAAGTGAAACAAAAAGATTGGCAGCTGTCTTATTTCTTATCACATTAACCGACAACTTTTTCTTCTCTTTTCCTTTCTTCTCGTTCTCTCTCTCTCTCTCTCTCTCTCTCTCTCTCTCTCTCCTCGCAATCCACCACTCAACTCTACTATCACAACACTCACAAATCTCAACAACCGACAGCAGAAAATGGCTCCCGTCCCCTCCCCCGAAGTCCGCGCCAACATCGCCGCAAAGATCGACGCCCTCATCCTGGCCGTCGAGAAGAACCCCGATTTCAAACGCACCTCGTCCAGCGGCGGGCTGTACCACGTGTGGGATTTCGCCCACCGCACGCAGTACATGCTCTTTGAGGTGGATGGTATTCGTCAAGAGGGGTATGAGTTTAAGCATGCTGGGCAAATCAAAATCAGTGAGTTTCATTCTTCTTCTCAAATATGTGATTGATACTTGGTCATTTAAAATGCAAACGAGAAAGAAAGAGGGAATATATGCTGACAAGTGACTTGTAGCCAAGCGAGGCGAAGAAGCGGCAGAGGAGCTGTATACCGATACCTTCACTCGCTCCGTCACGCTGGACCAGCTTATTAGCGGTCCACCCTTGATGCGAAATATGATGGGCATGAGTGGAGAGATTACGCCCGAGATTCAGGCTGCGTCCAAGGCGGTTATTGACGCCTTCCCGGGGTTTTGAGAGAAGTGAGCACGTTGTTGGGAAATGAAGATGGTTATACAGAGCAGAGGATCAATGAGACGCCGGGACGTGATTCAAAGAGTCTCATACTCTGCTCTTTTTTGGACCAAAAGACTGAAGATTGAGTCTTAGTTTAGATGAGATAGTGATGTAGATACCATATTGTAGGCGAGTTATACCATAGCTGCCGATTTTGCTGGACAGCACATACAATGCGAATCCAATTCACAGTTCCCCTTGAACTCCCCTACGCCGTTAATTTTTTTTTTTTTTTAAATTTATTTCTATATAAAGTGTAACTTGTGTGAGTAGCGAGTGTGTAAACAAGCCAATTCCCCCATCCCAGCTCTATCTAAATAATCCCAATACATAATCCCACATTCTCCCCATCACCACCACCATCCTCCTCATCGTCCTCCTCATCGTCCTCCTCATCCATCCACCCAGAACCGCCTCATCACCCTATCCGCATACTCCTCACTCATCCCCCAATTCTCAACCGCATCCTCAATCCCCCTCTCCATCCTCTCCACATACTCCTCCTTCGGCCTCCCCTCCGTCACGCGCTGCCTATCAACATACGCCAGCACCTTCACCGGCGTCAACTCCTCTTCCACCCGCTGCTCCTCCCCGTCGATCCTGTCCGTGTTGCTCACCCAAGAAGCCTCGATGTGAAGCTTTTCGTAGGCCCAGGGTACGCCCTCGTATCGGTCTAGTCGCTCTTCGTCTTCTACCGGTAGTAGGTAGAGCATGCCGTATACTTGGCTCTCTGTGTCTTCTTCCATCCTGCTTTTCCCCTTTTGTTCGACTTTCTCATTATCCCCTTCTTCTTCCATGGGAATGTCTTCCTCGCTCTCCCTCACAATGTTTGCATATCCCCTCGTGTTGATAACCCACCGCCACCCCGTAACTTTCCCCAACCCGACAGCTGTAGAATAAGGACAACGCTGCCGCATCTGCTCCGTCGACAAGTTGCTTCCGTACGCGAAATAGAGAATCTCGCTCCTGTTCTCATCGGTGATGGTCAGGGTGCTGTCCTGCGAGTCCTGGCTCCCCTGCGAGTCCATTTCGTCGTCGTCCTGTAACTGTATCTTGTATATTTTGCGTATCATGTATTGTTGTTCGTGTTTGTGTTTGTGTTCCTCTGTATGCGTGTGTAATAGGGTATATGTAAGATGACTCTTGTCTGTCTCAGTTGTGTGCTTCCTCTCAAGCTGATCAAGTAGCGCCCAATAAAAGTAATTCGTCGCCAAATAATGAAAATACTGCCAAACAATCGAAAATTCCCTTCAATGTACCTTTTAAAAGATCAATTCGATCAACTTGCAAGGCTGTTGTCTGTCAAAAAAAATGCCCAACCAGCAGCGGGAGGCCTTTGAAAGATCGATGCAAGGCTGTGCTGCGCACGGCCACCCCGAAACAAGGCGGAACCACGGAAATCAATAAACCACAACGACAATCCTGGACAAAAAGAATAGACTTCAAAATCCTTCTTCCTAAAGATAGAACTTCTATCTTTTTCCAATTTTTTCTCTTTAAAAAAATATTTGTTCGTTAACCGAAGGAGGCGATGATGAGGAGAACAGGGTCGAGAGAGACAAGAGGTACATGGGTGAGTACACGGTCAGCAGACTTTGGTCCAGGCAGCAAGGCAAGTCACTCCAGTCGTTCCCCATGTCCTGAATAGGCGACAGACAAATAGTCCGTAGCCGAGTTCTATTTCTATTACTATTCCTATTTCTGAATCCTTGCTTTGCGGGATATGTTTTTCAACGTCCTTCCTTATGTAGTATTCATTGTTGGCTGGACTTTTGTGTCTCATCATAGCAGAAATCTAACAAGCATTCATCCTAGAGTGAGGTTAGTTATCAACTCTCACAATGACAGACAACTACCTAGGCAGAAATCACGCAGATCACGCACAGGCACAGCATTGCTTCAGGTATCAAATCATCATCATTCATGCAGGTTTCATTTCATATAATACACTTCTTTAAATGCCCATGATATCACTTCACTTCCTCTCACCCCTCCTCGATGCTTCGCCCGTGCATTGCCCATCCATTACCACCACAACCCTTGCGCGCGCGGGCTGCCTCCAACCAGTGAGGCCTCACTCTCTTCGAGCAAATCCCATAACTCATTTTTTTCATAACTGCAAAAAATGGGAGAACAAGCAAAAGGAAAAAAGAGAAAAAAAGAATCCCATGCCCGTCTCCATATATGATGTAATAATATCCTTCTCATATCACCCGCATTTTCGCGTCTAATTGATATTTGTTCTTGTGATAGTTGCCTGCCCTGTTGAGTCCCTGGAAATGCGGAAGCAAAATTAAAAAAAAAAAAGAAAAGAAATTCGAGAAAAATAAAACAAAAAAATGGAGAAAATAGTAGAAAGCAAGATTCTAAGTAATCTGGGCGAGGAAAGGGCTGACCATCAGCTCATCGGCGCTTGGCCGCAGGTTGTGATCCAGCTCAAAGGTCTGGCCCAGGAACATCTTCGCATCGTCACTAGCATGCTCCGGTATGGTGGGAGTTGCTTTCCCGCCACCAATCCTGAAAATGGCCTGGAGCTGACTGCAATCCGGGAATGGGTGCGAGCCCGTCATCATCTCCACCACCAGACATCCCAGGGACCAAATGTCAGCCTTGCGCGTGTATGAAGTCTGCTTGACGACCTCGGGCGCCATCCAAAACACTGATCCCTGAAGGGAAGGTCGGTGCTTGTTGTTGGCGGCTCCGTTGAGAATGTTGGACGCCTCCAGCTTCTTGGAAATACCAAAATCGGAAATCTTGATTGTGCCCTTGTTGTCCACCAGGATGTTGGCACCCTTGATGTCTCGGTGGATAATGTCCATGCCGTGCAGGTAGGACAAGCCTGTCAAAATCTGCCTCACAAAACTGCGCACCAGGGGTTCGGGCAGGGCGCCATACGAGTTGAGCATGGTCTGGACCGAGCCACCGGGGACGTACTCGAGGAAAATGTTGAGGTGTTCGGCAGAAGAGCTGCAGCCCAGGTATTGCACAATGTTGGGATGTCGCAGCTCTCGGAGAAGGCTGATTTCGCGCTTCAGGGCATCAATCATGCTCTTCTTTCGGCTGTCGTTTTGGCTGTTTGCACCAGGCGCTGGCATCTCGACCTGCTTCACAGCCAGGAGCTCTCCCGTCACTGCGTGCAACGCCAAGTACACGCTGCCAAAGGATCCCTGTCCAATCAGGGCTCCCTTCATCCATTTGTTATCATCCCACGAGTCTCCCGCCAAGAAACTCTCCAGCTCTTCGTCAGCCTCATCCTCGTCCTCGTTGAGGGCCTGCTGAACCTCTTGGAAGGAGCCGGAGCCAGTAGACCCATCCGCATCATAGTAGCTCGTGCTTGTCGTGTTGCCTTCGGGGTCGGTGACGCTGAGGCCAGTGGTGTCGCTTGCGTCCGAAAACGAGACATATGACTTGCGGTTTGGCTCTGTGGGCGACGATGCCTCTTCTTGCAGAGTTCCGAGCATCGACGATGCAATCGAATCTCTGCTATAAATCGTTGGGGCTCGCCCGCCCTGGAGACGAAGTTTGGCTACATGGGCACTTCCACCCAGCCAAGAGTCTGCAATGGTAGGGATGGGAGGGGCATCCTGGATGCTTGAAGCAAAACTCAAATTGCTCGCCACGCTAAGACGGCTGTTGATCTTGCTCAAGCGGGTTGATCTTCTCATGGAAAGCCTGGCGGTTCGGTCAATGTCCTCGCGGGCGTGGTCAGGGAAATATGATGTCAGATCTGATGCGATGAGCTCGCTCGGCGGCCGGAGTCCTCCAAACTGCCGCAGTCCTACCTTTCTCAGCGGGTTGCGATCAGGCGAGGAAGGTCGGTCCAGCTCTCTATACGCATTCGCCGTGTTTCGCTCTCGGGCTGCAAAAGAGACGGGCGACAGGGGGTTTTGAAGCTTCTCATTCCAACTCTCACCCAAGACTTTCTGTACCTTGATCTGACTCCTTTTATCTACGCTCTCTAGCGCTCGCGCGTGCTTCTGCTGCTCCTCCTCCAAGGCAATGGCGGCAGCGCGCTGCAGTTCTGCCTCGCCGGGCTCTCCAGCTGGTACTCTTCTAAGAATCAAACGGTTCCTCTCCGGTCTCCGCTGATCCTTGATGATGCGCCAGAGCTCCGTGTCGCCCAGTCGACGGCACTGGCTGGGGTCGGCATCTATGCCGGTCAGGACCCAGAAACAGTAGTTTCGCTCATGATCTTCGCGGAGGCCGAATTTGCGCAGAGTGACGCGCATGACGTCCTCGCAGGTGTTGCATTCGGCAATCTTGACAACCTTTGTAACGCCGCCGCTGGAAATGACACGGATAATGTGCTGGCCCTGAGGCAGGGTAGCCATGAGGGAACCGTCCAAGCTGGAGTTGTTGCGCGTGTGAGTTGACATTAGACGACCGCTTGAAGTATTAGACGCCGGGTTCTGGCTCCCGTGAGCTACATAGCCTCTACCGGTGGCATATTGCTGCGATTGCTGCGGCTGTTGCTGTCGTGTTCGCACATCTGGTACTGGCTGGGGAGAAGTAGGTCTTGAAGTAGGTCTTCCGTGGTTGGAGGCGCCAGCGCCAGACATGTCGACCTGCCTCGAGTAGCGCTTGTTGAGAGAGGGAGTAGCGGCGGATCGTGGGTTGGAGGCCATAGCAGAGCCGCCAAGGCTCTGCATAGGGAGGATATCCAGTCCAGCAAACGAATCCTAGATGCGGGGGGCAACTGTCAGTAATTATCCCCTTTCCTCTACCCAAGTACCGAGTGCACAAAGGAAAACTCACCCTATTTCTCTTCTTTTGGTTGGCATACGCCTTTGTTCGCAGCTTCTTGATGCTGAGGAAGAGGCGCACGCGGTCGCCAACCTTGTCAATTCCCATCTCTTTGAGAACTTCTTTGTCCATCTCCAGCAGGTTTTCGCCATTGATGTGGTTCTTGCGGAACAGCTTTTCGTATTCCCCACACTTGACGCTGGCGAGATAGTCGCAAACTCTGTCCTCGTCCCAGTTCTTGACGGAATCTGGGCCGTCCGAGTCGGAGAAGTCTGACTCTGTCGGGCTGGAAAAGCCATGCGAGTTGCCAGTCATGGCGGGTATTCTCCTTGACGTCGGTAGGCCGGAGGAGTAGTCGCTTGCGACCATGGTTGCGCCGCCTCCTCCTAGAGGAGCGGGATACGTGGATTTGGCGAGCATTGCCATCTTTGCTGTGTTTTTTTTTTCTGTCTTTCTTAATTTGATTTGGTGATTGTAAAATTCAAATGTTGATCTCGGCGAGAACGATGTTGTGCCGTGCTTCGATTGCAAACGCGACCCGCGGTGTTTGCAGTTGCCGAGCGTCGACTTGATGGTGCGATGCGTCTTGCGTCTTCGCCCGTCGCCAATCTCGATTTTGGCTCTTCGGCTTCTTCTTCTTCTTTTTCTCTTCCACCGTCGAATCAGGACCCAGAGCTTCAGGCCACCTCGTCCGTGGTTGCTGCGGTCGTCACGACACAGGCTCCCGGCTGAAGTCGACCGACGGCGTCGAGAAGGGAAAAAAGGGGAGCAAGCTGGGAGGTTAAAAAGAATCAAGGCCAAACAGGAACGAATTGAGCCCAGACGAGAAAATAGCGGCCAGGCGGGGGCGCTTCTCCTCCTAGGGTATGGATGTGAGCAGGTACTCGTACAGTACGGTAGCAGCAGATGGGCGATTGGTGGCGATTGGCCACGGCGGGACCCCCCCTGTAACCTCGTGGAAATCAGCACAGATGCGCTAAAAAGGTGCTGAAGAAGCGCAACTCGGCAGTGCAAGTACTCGTACCTGCAACCTGCGACACAGCTGCGACGACAAGCTGAGATTGCTGGATTGTGATGCCGCCGAATTCGTTGACGGTTTATGATGAAAGGAGCACCAGTCCCGGCATGTGCAGTTTGCTATAGACGCCTCTTGTACCTGTTGACCTGTGCCTGGATCGGGCGCTAAGAGGTGGCTAAGGTACCGGCCGTTGAGGCGTGTACTCGTACCTCACCATTCATGGCATATATTGAGATGGAAGGGGACTCAAACAAAACAATGGATAAACCGGGTCGCAGGCCGTCGTCCTTAATGCCGGGCGCTGAAGTGACAAGCAGCCTGATTCTGACGCAAGCAGAGCTTCTAATAATATCATGGCTACAGTACGGTACATGTACATCCATACTTACGCATCCATTCCCGCCGAGAAGATCAACTCTCAGCTATACTGGGGACTTGTCCACCAGACCCCATGGATCGATGTATGTATACATACCTCCAGTGCAGGTAGCATCGTCAATGGAATCATCTCCGGGCACGGTAATAAATACATGCTTCAACACAATCACCAGCCGTCAAATGTTGCCTCGCACGCATGTCTATAAGCATACAAGCAGCAGGATCGTATCCGCTCTGGCCTGCTGGAAATGGATCAGCTCCGGTGTCCAAGTGAGATTCGCTCCCGAAGGTGCTGTCTGTGCTCTACAAAGGTACGAGTGTTAATATAACCCATCCCGGAGCTTCGTATAATATCACCAGTAGAGTTGCATCTAGGCCTATAATAAACCCGTGTGTCTTCAAGTTTGTAAGAATACTGTATGTAGATGGAAACCCACCCAAGATCATACCTATTATTCAAGTATCTTCTATTTTTGTCGTTGTGGAATTCAACCCTCTTCATCGTCTTTTCACTCTCTTTTTGCCTCCTGCGAGCCATTTCCAAGGGTTCCATGTGGGCCTCGCGCATTGGCTCCACGACCCCTGTTGAGCCCTGGCGCGCGTCATTGGTCCGCCATCTGCGAAACGTGAAACCAGCGGCGTTTCGAAGTTTCATCTCGCACCCACCGCATTTTGGTGGCTCGTCCATCGTGTGTGGCCCGTGGGCCAAAGCGTCGATACGGGGGGGAGAGAAACGCCCTTGCTCGCACCGAAAAAACTGCGTCCAGATGTATGTTGTCTTTTCGCTACAGTACTCGTACAGCACAGTATAGCACAGTACAGTATCGACAGAAGAGCTGATAAGGCGGTCTGTCCGCTCACAGGGGCCAGGCCACAACAGCGTTGTAAATCAGAACAACACGAACCCTGGGCCGATGACGATTGTTTAGGACCCCTAGCAGGCGATTTTCCGATTCCCATCACGCGCTAGCACACGCCCGATGCCCTGTCACCAACCTGAACTCGACTCGTATGCTTACCGGAGCTTGACGGCGACTCGCATTCACCCATCTTACCATCTTTCGATCAATCGCACGGGGGGCTGCTGATCGGCTGCTGGCATCCTCGGACTGGCCTCATTGCTTCTAGAACGTCGAGGGTGTCGGCCTTTGATCCAAGGCAGCAAATCAAGGCTGCAGCCTGGTTCTTGTTCGCTGGCAGTGCATGCGCAGACGCAGACGCACGCCTGACGAGGCAAAATGCGGCCTCTCGTGTGCAGTTTTCATTGCATGTGCTCGTACCCATCCATGTATGTACACACTCTGTGACACCACCACCTAACCTCTACCTACCTTGGTATGATAGAAGTAGCAGCACATCATTTAAACAACAGTAATATCAGGCGCAAGTATTAATGGGATGTTTCCACTCGGAAAAGCGCCCGTCCAGTCAAGCTCCAGTCAGCATGCATGTACTGTACATAGGCCCGGCCATCCAGCCCACGATACCCTCAACTGCTAATTCGTCCGCACAATGTTTCACATGGTGACAGCCCGGCGCTTGAAACAACTGCACCAATCACGCAGCGGCTGCTTGACCGGGCCGACGCGAATCAATCAAATTCTTGCCGGGATGCCTGAAGAGCTGGCATACAAACAAGTGGAATTGCCGCAATCAACCCCAAACGGCGGACACCCTCACGTTGCGCCCTCGTGATGCGTATCACTCTATTCATCACAGCGCCTTGTTATTGGGCCTGCGCAATCACAAATGGATGGACGTGATATTGATCGGCCACAGTCACAGTCACGGCGCCTCGATCTATGCTGGCCTAATAATAGATGCCTGTGTCTTCAAATGGGACAGATGTCTGCCATGCATGAAAAGATATCCGTGGGCAAGGAATTCTGCACCATCGTTGCCTTATTAATCAAGGTGGCATGTAGAACTACCCATCCATCGTGCCACATCCTTCTAGTAATGTAATGGTGTTTAGCTCAGATTCTTAGACCTACCAAATCTTATATCATACTCTGTAAGCTACTCAAAAAGCTTGCCTCGTAAGCTCGTCCACAGCTTCTTCCAAGCTTTCCGCGATATCGCAGCTGAAATCGTGCTGCTCCAGCTCGTAGATGGCGTCTTTTGGACCCCGCGATAAACCAAAGTCTCACACTAACATGTCTGCACCCAGCGCCCACACAATATTCGTTAGGGCGCAACACTGGCTGAGAAACCGGTTTTGAGATGTCGCAGTCATCCTTATGTCAGGCACCACAAAAGAGCTTTGGACAGCTCTCGAGCAAGCTCTCTTTACGCTTTCCATCTCTTTCTTTTTCTTCGTAATTGTTGGCATCCTGGATAGCGACGTTAGCAAGCACGGGATTCCGTGATACCTCTGGGATCAACAGCTGTCAGATCCACTTTCATTGGTGGCCGTAAATCCGATCTTCGGCACCTATGCCCAAAGTCATTTGAGCTTGAAGAAGCTTCGCGGTGACAAGCCGCAGCTCTCCGGACGTCAGCCCTCGAGATCCTCCTTGTGGAGGGTCAATTGAATTCGTGTCCATTGCTTCCACATAGCCTGTTAGATCTGTAATTTCATCATGGAGACAATTCAGAGGCCCGTTGTCAGCTTTCTGGGCCCTATTGCCTCATATTCGCATCAGGTACGCTTCTCATCAGGCGCCATATAAAAGGACAAAGCTAACCAAAGCTCATCACATAGGCAGTCCGCCAGGTGTTTCCAGAACCAACGTGGGAACTGAGGCCTGCAGCAACGATAGATGGTATGCAATCAAGTCAAAGATGGATAAAGCCCTGCGCTTTCTAACCACATGTGCCCCCTTAGACGTCTTTGACCAGGTTCAATTCGGAGAGGTAAAGGCCGGCGTCGTCCCCATTGAAAATTCTACAAATGGCTCAGTCGTCTTCACCCTCGATAACCTCGCCGACCGCAATGGTCGGTACAAAGACATCACCGTCGACGGCGAGATCTTTGTCGACGTACATCACTGCCTGGTGGGACACAGAAATCCATCCCCCGTGCTGGAGCTGGAAGACCATGGAGACGGGTCGGGAACCTGCACGCCTACTCTCACGGACCCGCGCCCGTCGAAACCAAAGTCAAAGCCCCTCGCGAATCTGAGACACATCAAGAGGCTCTACTCTCACCCTCAGGCGTTTGGCCAGTGCAACGCCTTCATCTCGACGTACCTCAAGGGCGTTGAGATTTTCGACGTCAGCTCGACTAGCAAGGCTGCCGAGATTGTGAGCCAGGACACAACCGGCACTTGGGCGGCCATTTCCAGCGAGCTTGCTGCCAATCTCATGCAGGGCTTGGATATGTTGGCCAGGTCTATCGAGGACCGTGACGACAACACCACCCGCTTCCTCATTATCGGAAAGAATACGACTGTTCCCAAGGACTGGAATCTAGTGAAACAGTCGGTGGGAGAGGCTAGTACCAGGACTCTGATATCGTTCACGGTGCCTCATACGTCCCCGGGTGCCCTGGCCGAGGTTTTGAGCGGCTTCAAGGCGCATAATCTAAACCTCACGAGCATCAACAGCAGACCAAGCCTGTTGGCTCCATTCCAGTACATCTTCTTCATTGAATTCGAGGGCAGCAAATACGATGACCCAGATGGAAGAGTAAAAGGGGCGTTGGATAACATTGACCGGGTCGCCCAGAGTTGGAGATTACTCGGAAGCTGGGAACGGTACAAGTAGCTATTCCAGTAAAATGGCAGGGATGAATAAGACAAGAACTCAAGGAGAGCCTTGTCTTACCAAAATGCTTCCCAACTAAGTTATTGCGAGGCGACTACTGCATCTAAGTGACCAACGTAGATTAGTACATGTAGGTTGACGAGTCCTTTTTCTCTCCCAGGATTCGGCTGCCAAGGCCGCTTGACCGCCATAAGAGTGAATGAATCCTGGCCTCTCTTTCTACCGTAATCATTGTGCCAGTTTTTGCATGGAAGAAAAGAAAGTGCAATGGAAGGTAAATACATCGGTACACATACTTGGCATTGTGCCTGGCATGTGAGATCTACGGACCACAGAAATAGCCGCGAGATGTGCACTTCAGCCTAACACAAGGGAAAGCTGTCAGTCAAATCTTCGGATCAACTGCCCGACAGTTACGATGGAATGCCGCCTTGAACCGCGCCAGCAATGACGTGTAACACTCCTTTAGCCTGGCCACATGTCCTGGGCTGTCCCACGGCCAATGAGAGGCTGCGGCGACTGCCAGCGTCTCGGACTGTCGGCGTGGGGTCAAACGGAGTCTTTCGTAGGGATCGATGAAAATCTCGCCGTTTTTGGTGTCCCCCCCGGCATATCTAGCAAAAATGACATTCTGGAGGTTCTTGTCCGCTTTGCCGTGCGGAGAGATGCGGCAAATCTTTTGAGGGAGATAAATGGGCGATAGGGCGGGCGGTGCTTTGATCCGAAAAGGTTCGAGATCGCATGGCCCGTCTCACTCACCACCCTATCTCATCTGTCTAAGACAACCTATCACGTTGGTCAGCTGGACCACGTCCAACCTCCATACTTGAGCTCGCTGCTAAGTGCCGTCTTTCTTCCCCCAACGAGTCCTTTTCCTTTCCCACCCTTCTTCCCGTTATCAATGGTGCCCTCGCTTGGAATGACTTGCAGCCAGCCAAAAAGAAAAGGAACCGGGGGGCCAACCTAGCGCCACAGAAACCCACTCAAAAGCCATTGGTGGTTCAGCTGCCCAAGAGTCCCCTCGGCCCTTTGGACCCATGGCTTTTTTTTCCAGTGAAGAAACCATGACGTCGCAGAAGTCAAGGCTGGCCTCGAAACGGTAGCCAAGGGGGTGAATGGCGACAGGCCTTGTAGGGCTTCTCCGTAAGGTACGGGTGGACCGGGCCCCATACGAGTGGCTCGGGCGATTGGACGGGCTTGCGAGCTGGCCCTTTTGATCGCGAGGCTTCCGTTCCGTTGCGGGCATGTGAGTGGTGATCTTGCGAACGCTTAAGCCAGCCGCCTGGGGAATTGATCCAGAAAAGCGGCAAGGTTTCGGTCCCTCGGGGGGGTAATTCCAAGGACGTGGCTGCATTGGAACGAGGGCAGTGTTCAGGTTCAGGTACTGGGAGGCGCCCTCCTTGCTTTTCCCCCGGGCGATGGTCCGAGATCTCGAGTGTATATATATGTATCTTGTCTGCTGCTCCCTCCCCCCTGTGAGATTTTAAATCCCGTTGAACTTTGTTGTACTTTGTTTGCAATACTCCGTATGTCTGTATAATTTGACTTGGAAATACGATTTTTCAATATGGCTCCTCGACCGATTTTTGCTGCGACTCATCCCAGGGCGTGTTCAACGGCCTTTGAAAGGGTACATACACACCATACTCTTCGTCCATGGAAAAAAAATAATAATAAGAAGAAGTTTTACTGACGAGATGCTCGTGTGCTCAGGTGTTCATGGCCCGTCGTGATATCCTCGAGTGTGGGCACGAGCCATTCGGTGATGCCTTTTACTTTGGCCCAGAGTTCTTGAGCGACCGCTTCAGGGACGATGCGGATTATCGCAAGAACACGGAATACTGCAACACCACTTTCAAGGATGTCTTGGAGAGTCTCGCGGATGCGGAAAAAGAGGTTCGAATTCTCCCGTGTCAGAGAGTATCCTTTGATCGAGGGCGGATGAGTTCCAAGTGGAAGTCTCCAAGCCCGCCTTGAACACCCTTTCAATATCCATATTCATGGTCGCCCTTCGATTGAACTACCATTATTTCCCCAATGGTGCACTTTGGGAGGAGCAATTGGAATTGGAACAGGATGCGATACTTACACATACCAGGGCAAGCGTCTCTTCATCAAAGACATGGCATACTATCTGGTGCCACCCGATGGGAAGCCATCACAAATCGCACCGTCTCTCGGCGGCGGCAAGGAGCCCGGCAATCCAACCGTCCTGCCAGTCGACATCTTGAAGCGCTTCCACTTCACTTTTCTCATCCGCCACCCCAAGCGGTCCATCCCCTCTTACTACCGCTGCACAATCCCTCCTCTGAGCGAAATCACCGGTTTCGACTACTTCATGCCCAACGAGGCCGGATACGTGGAGCTCGTCCGGCTGCTGGACTTTTTGCTGGAGCGCGGAATCGTCGATAGAGACCACATCACTGCCATTGACGCTGATGATTTGCTCGATAAGCCGGAGCCAATCATTCGCGAGTATTGTGCGCGCATTGGCATTGACTTCAAGCCAGAGATGCTCAAGTGGACCGAGGAGGATCGCGAGTATGCGGCACAGATGTTTGCCAAGTGGAATGGCTTTCACGATGACGCTCTCAAGAATTCTTGTTTTCAGGCGCGATCTCACGCTCAGGTAAGATGAAGCCCACGAATTGTTGAAAATGTTTACACATTTTGCTTACTTTTGGGATAGAAAACTTCGACTGTTGAGTCGGAGAATAAGGAGTGGGCGGAAAAGTACGGGCCTGAGGCGCAAACGGTTATTCGCCAGACTGTCGATGACAACATTCCTCATTATGAATACTTGAAGCAATTTTGCATTACTGTTTAATGAATCTTTGGACGATTGGGTACTGGGTAAAGGGAACATGTTTTGTTTTTTAGAAACTCTTTTTGAGTGATTGGTCTATGATACAATATATCGGTCTGGCTTATACGGCCCACCGCATCTTTTTTTTTATATGTCCGTAATCAACGTCGCTTTTTGCAAACAAGATCTCTGTCCAAGATACCTTCATCATGCCGTTACTAGTACATCTTCCTATGCCCTTGACATTTCGTTTCATGCCATGTGCCATCTCCTGCTCGAATCAACCCCCCATCGCATTTTACGCTGCCGTCTTGGTGACCTGCTTCTCGGGCTCTCCTGAGGTATATGTCGGAGCCTCAAATAGAGAGTGCGTCACATTACTTGACCACGATTCAGCGTACTTCTTATCCTGGTCGTTGGCCCAGCTGATTGTGACATCAACCAACTCTTTCTCGCCTCCTTCAGGCTCCGCAGCCAAGACCTTGTTGCCACGGCCCTCGCCCGCCAAAACGGATGCCATGTCGGCAATCGCATTTTGCTTCTGGGCATTGAGAGCGATTCCACGCTCCTGCTTGCTTCGGATTGGTTGGTAGTCGAATCCCTTCTCCTTCTCCTCGGCAATCTTCTTCTTGTCCTGGCTGGTGTACTCTTCCGGTCGCTTGTGTCGCAACTCGTCTGTCCATGCAACCTCGTGGAGGTGCTTCAACTCTCGCAGTTTTTGAAATACTGAGCGGCCGACGGATCCTTGGCCGGGCTGGAATCGAATGTGGGCAAGCGGTGACCAGTAGTCTTTGCGAAGCTTTGCAGGCTTGGTCTTCTTGCCGTTGAACGGCAACTGCTTCAGGCCATGGAACCCCTATGACACCCAGTAAGATACTATGATACGACAGGTTGTAAGCGGGGGATATAAGAGGCGAAACTAACATCCAATTGCTTGGTGAAGCTGTAAATGACCTGCTCTGATCTTCTGTGGGCAAACACCCAGATATTCTCTCCATGGCTCTCGGCATCTTGGGATCCTGCCGCAGCCCCCCGTGGCCGGCCCGTGTGTGCAAACCGCACTCCGGATCTCAAAAGGCCCAACAATTGGCCCTGGCCGGGTCGCGAGGCGGAATTCATGGCTGCCGTCCGTCGTCTGGTTGAGCTGGTCGCACGATCCGTCTAACAAAGAAAATCGCCAGACAAACTGCTTTGCGCGGGGTCATGTGACATGCGCACCAAGTTCGCTGAGCTGAAAGTGCCTGCGCCGATAAGATTGGGCTGGCCAATCACAGGGCGCGCTCCCCACCTCGCGTGTTAGGCCTCCACCAACGCCCAGTGACGTCGGGATGAATCTTCCAGGTTCCAGTGACTTCTGGGCAGCTCGAGCTAGGCCTGGAGCTCACTGGAAGCCTCTCGCGTTGTCATTGTCTGCCCACCACCTGTCAGGCACTCCACCCAACCGCTAATAAATTGCATCAAGCATTCCATGATCCGTTTCTTCCTTTCTTTGTTCTTCATCCTTACTCTCTACAGCAAAAGGCACAAGAAGCCCAAGACTTGCAACCTCGTTTGCTTGCTTGCTTGCTAATCACAACTTTACGACGATAACGAACAAACAAACGAACTGACTTGATACCCCGCTGTTTGAATAGCAGCCCAACCTTTGTCAAGCTATACACTACCTTATACCCAACCTCGATTACGCTACTACTACATCATCCTACCATCTTTCTACATACTACACTTCCTGACACACATTCGCCATGACTTCGCGAATGGACTTTACGGATCGTGCTCAAAAGGCCATCGAGGACGCCATGTCCATGGCTGAGCAGTACGGCCACTCACAGCTCCTGCCGGTACACTTGGCCGTGTCTTTGCTGGAGCCCCCTATCGACCAATCCAAAGACCAGCAGAATGGTCCTCAGCAGACCACCATCACTCTCTTCCGACAAGCCATCGAACGAGCACATGGAGATCCTCAGCTGCTCGACCGTGCCCTAAAGAAGAACCTGGTGCGGCTACCAAGCCAGGACCCTCCCCCTGATCAGGTCTCGCTGTCACCTTCATTCCACGCCGTTCTGCGGAAAGCCCAAGACTTGCAAAAGGTCCAAAAGGATACATTCATCGCAGTTGACCATCTGATCACGGCTCTATCCGAAGATGTCGGTATCCAGGCTTGTCTCAAAGAGGGCAACATTCCCAAGCCCAAGCTACTTCAAGAAGCTGTCGCCGCCATCCGGGGCACCCGGAGGGTGGACAGCAAGAACGCAGATACAGAACAAGAAAACGAAAACTTGGCCAAATTCACCATCGACATGACCGCCCTCGCGAGAGACAAGAAGATCGACCCTGTTATTGGCAGAGAAGAAGAAATCAGACGAGTCGTGCGAATCCTCTCTCGCAGAACAAAGAACAACCCGGTTCTTATTGGTGAGCCCGGTGTTGGAAAGACCACCGTCGTCGAAGGCCTGGCCCAGCGAATTGTCAACCGAGACGTTCCTGACAACCTAAAGGCCTGCAAGCTCCTTTCCCTTGACGTCGGTGCCCTGGTTGCCGGCAGTAAGTTCCGTGGTGAATTCGAAGAGAGAATGAAGGGCGTGTTGAAGGAGGTCACCGAGTCCAAAGAGATGATTGTTCTCTTTGTTGACGAGATTCACCTTCTCATGGGAGCTGGCTCGTCTGGTGAAGGCGGTATGGACGCTGCCAACTTGCTGAAGCCCATGCTTGCTCGTGGTCAACTGCACTGTATCGGTGCGACGACATTGGCCGAGTATCGCAAGTACGTTGAGAAGGATGCTGCTTTTGAGCGTCGTTTCCAACAGGTTCTGGTCAAGGAGCCTACCATTCCTGAGACCATCTCCATCCTGCGTGGCTTGAAGAGCAAATATGACAGTCACCACAAGGTCAGCATTCTCGACAGCGCCTTGGTGGCAGCAGCCAATCTTGCTGCGAGATATCTCACCTCACGACGCATGCCCGACTCTGCAATCGATCTCATCGATGAAGCCGCCGCAGCAGTCCGAGTCGCCAGAGAATCTCAACCCGAAATCATCGACTCTCTGGAGCGTAAGCTGCGGCAGTTCAAGATTGAAATTGCAGCTTTAGAGAAGGAACATGACGAGGCATCCCAGATTCGTCTGCAACAGGCGAGGAAGGATGCCCAGAATGTGGAAGAAGAGCTACAGCCACTCCGCGAAAAGTACCAGAATGATATCAAGCGAAACGATGAAATCCATCAGGCCAAGGACAAGCTCGAAGACTTGAAGAAGCGACTTGAGGATGCCATCAACGCAGGAAACCACCAGCGGGCTGCCGATCTCAAGTACGGTGCCATTCTCGAACAAGAGGCACTGATCAAGAAGCTGGAAGACAAGAAGAATGCCGCTGATGTCGCGCTCAACGCAAATGGCGACACCAGCGTCATGGTCACCGATATCGTGACGGCAGATAACATCAATGAAATCGTCGCGCGATGGACTGGCATCCCTGTTACCCGACTAAGGACATCGGAAAAGGAGAAGCTTATCCAAATGGAAAAGGTCTTGAGCAAGGTTGTCGTTGGCCAAAAGGAGGCTGTTCAATCAGTCGCCAACGCCATCCGACTTCAGCGCTCAGGTCTCAGCAACCCCAACCAGCCACCTAGCTTCCTGTTCTGTGGTCCATCAGGTACCGGCAAGACGCTCCTTACGAAGGCTCTAGCCGAATTCCTGTTTGACGATCCAAAATCCATGATCCGCTTCGACATGTCCGAATACCAGGAGCGACACGCACTGAGCCGTATGATTGGTGCCCCTCCAGGATATGTCGGCCACGATGCTGGTGGTCAGTTGACTGAGGCACTCCGACGAAAGCCCTTCTCAATCTTGCTGTTTGACGAAGTTGAGAAGGCGGCCAAGGAAATCTTGACGGTTCTCCTCCAGCTCATGGATGATGGCCGAATTACCGACGGCCAGGGCAGAGTTATTGACTGCAAGAACTGCATTGTCGTCATGACATCCAACCTGGGAGCTGAGTACCTTGTTCGCCCAGGTGTGAAAGAGGGCAGAGTCGATGCCAACACAAGGGAGCTCGTCATGAGCGCTCTCCGCAACTACTTCTTGCCCGAGTTCTTGAACCGTATCAACTCCGTCGTCATCTTCAATAGACTGACGCGCAAGGAGATTCGCAAGATTGTCGACTTGCGTATCACGGAAATTCAGAAACGGCTGGAAGACAATGGCCGCAAGGTCTTTATACAAGTCTCTGATGAGGCCAAGGACTACTTGGGCAACGCAGGTTACTCTCCGGCATACGGAGCTCGACCACTGGCTCGTTTGATTGAGAAAGAGGTGCTTAACAGGCTTGCCATTCTCATTCTTCGAAACAGTATTCGCGATGGCGAGACTGCTCATGTGGAGCTTGATGACAACAAGATTGTTGTGCTATCGAACCATCCCGATAGCGGAACAGATGATGATGACGAAGACATGTATGATGAGGACGATGTTGAGGATGTGATTGGAGAGGACATGGACGAAGACATTTATGATTAAGCGGATTGATTCAGGAAATGAAATTTCACCAAAAGTTATTTTTCTTTTGTTAATAGGTATGTTCCTTTCTGGTCACATACATGGCATACGGAGTTTTTAGGAGGAATAGGGAAACCGTTTTTGGTTTGAGTGATTACTCGGAAATTGACCCTCTATAATGTATCATAGCTAAAAATGAAAATATTGTTCATTAAAAAATTAAAACATGACTCCCCGTCCTAACATGCAGTGTTGACAACTAGTGGTATATGCAACGAAAAAAAAAAAAACATGAAAACAGAGGTAAAGATATCCTTCAATCCAATTATATGAGACTCATCAACACGCCGTCTTCTCCTGTCCAGCCAAAATCATCCATGAACATGGACCAATCTACGTCTTGGAACGGATCGCTGGCTGGTACATTATTGGTCATTGGCTGATCTTGCGCGACGGTATTTGTACCTGAACTTTGATCTGTACGGAATTCTGAGGTTTTTTTCAACGTTAGCTCATGAGATGTCGAAAGGGATGTGACAAAGGGAACAACTGACGAATAATCTCGAGGCATTTGTTCACGCCATCAGTGCTCTTTTGTGCCATGAGGAGCCCGTTCTTGAACCTCTCTAGACAGGCGTATGTGATGCCCGCTGCGCCGCGACTTACCCACGAAGGCGGGACGGAATCGAATTTCGGGACGTAGCTCCTAAACGACCAGAACGTTTCCATGATGACGCTGCCGCGGTACCAAATGTCCTGCTCCTTGACGGAGCAGCGCATGATTGCCGAATAAGCCTGCTGCGCGAGCAAGTTCGCTTCCTCGGGCGGCAAAGAGTCCGAGTCCGGGCCCCAGACGGAGTGGAGGAGGTACACGATTGTGTTTGCGGCGTCGGTAAGGGCACGACACATGATACCCGGGCAGTGAGAGATGAATTTTGATCGGGAGTCGAGGTCGAGGGCGGTTAGGATGAGGGAGCGGGCTGTGGTGAATGCCTTGAGGGTGTTTATGCGGAGGGAAGGGTTTGATGACGGGGGAGGGGTGGATGATGTTGGGGAGGAAGGAGGGGGGTTTACGACGGCGGTGTTTGCGTTGATGATGAGGTTGTTGTTTGTGGCGGTGATGGAGGAGGGGGACATGAAGTAGAAGAGCTGGATTTCGAGGAGAGCTGCGAGTTTGAGGATGCGGGAGATTTCTGTGTTTTTGAAACTTGTGTGTGAGTTATAGTCTTGAAAAATAGAGTTATTGGGATTTATGAGTGTTTTCGGTCTTACCTGTGTCGAAGCGAATGAGGAGCGGCTTGAGCACTTCATACTCGTTTTCCCAGGTTGCGACGAGGCTGTCCGGGACGCTGCCTACCGTCGAGGTTTGTGCGTGCATGGCCATGTGGAAGCGATTGAGGAACCGTTGCAGTTCGTAGGTGGTGATTAGGTCGGCCCAGTAGGTTGATTCGAGGGCGGCTTTGCACCGGGTGTCGCTGAGCTGGATAAAAGGGGGTGGATGGCCTGCGCTTGCCGATGTCCTATTAGGTGTATCAGCAAGATTTGTCAAAGATGTATGCTACGGCAAAAGAAGCAAAGATACAGGAGAGAAGAGATACCTTTGTGAGATCAAGCAGCACGCTA